AACTGAAGAAAATATTGGTAGATGCATAAGTTTCTAAATTTTTGTTATTGAATTCAAAATTTGATTTTAATAAACAAACTCGATGATATATCCCCCCTCGTTGTTCCATTGGTTTGGAATTAAACAATTCATCAGTTTATGTTAAAATGACTTATTTGGAAACTATATTTGTGTTATATTTTAAATGATCAACGTCGTGATACATTCTTTTAAATTTTTTCATGTTTTGGATAAAACTTACCTTGTGTCTGTTATCCATGCTATTTGGAAATCGTGTAGTGATATTCACAATTTTTTTTTTCTATTTAACTAGAGTTAGTTTCCTACACTCTAACGACATCAGGGGTTCCGCAGGGATCGATACTCGGGCCGCTGTTCTCTATTTCATTCATAAATGATTTATTAGAAAATATTCTAGCGCATGCTCCGCTATGTGCTGATGATCTATTGGCATTGTTGGATCCATTCGAGACTTTTATAACAGCAAGCACTTATAGTGTCAAAATAACATATTGCCATTAACTGTATGGTTATAACCTTTACAAAGAATACCGTTCTAGTTCATATAATTACAGTACAAATGATACTTTATTGAACAGATGCACATAATTTAAATACCTAGGTGTGATCTTTGACACAAAATTGACTTTTGTCTATCACATTGAGATAGCAACATCTAATACCTATAGAATTTTTTTATTATGAGAAATTATAAATACTTTTTTGTTTGTCTACTCTCAGAACAAACGTACTTAAAAATTCTCTTGTTTATAAAATGTACAACTATATACACTAATTAAATGAGTTCATCATGCTTTGACATTTTTAACTTTTATGTTAATTCTACAATGCAATGATATTAAAGTGTAGATATTTATTGTTTGTTGTTTATTGACATTTTATTCTGTGTAGTTAGTTTGTAGTCGATGTTTTTATTTTAATTTACGGCCATATATTTTTTACCATATGATTTGATTTTACATTTCTGAGAACAAGAAAAAGCACGATTTTAATTAAAGGTAACATTATAAAAAATTATTTGGAACATTTTAAATGACCTTATATATGAAATCATTTATTATTTTACGGAGTCAATATTCATGAAGTGCACTTTCAGATTCGATCGACACACGCCAACAAAAATTCGCCGGTAAAAATACAACCGCGGCACAGTTTATTAACCCAAAAAGCATATTTTATGAAATCTATGCGACGTGCCTATTATAAACGACGCTAATAAATCTCCCAAATTGCTCTGTTGTATTAAAATGCGGATTTAAAATGGCGTATGGATATACTTTGCGATAAATTTCGCTATATTTATTGTTCGGTCGTTCATGCTTTTCAAATTGAATTTTATCGTAGCCGTTTAAAACTTATTGGCGCCATTTAGCAGGTCAAATGCTGTCATATCCATTTGGATTTATATCATGGAGCCCGCATAGCGGTTTACGGCGCTTTTATATCCGCAAAAATAGAAAATAATTAAAAATGAAATCAACAGCATTTTTTGTCGAGTAGATCATTTCATTGTTGAAAGTTGTAATGTCTAACTCAAAGTGTTCATTATAAAAGAATTGTTATCACAAAACAAAAAAGATATAATAAAACTTTGAATGCAATTTTGGAAGTTTTCTTTAAAAAATTCACGTTCTGAACAGAACGAAACGCAGACAAATTGTACGTAATAAGCAGATTTCTTCCTAACGTCATCTGCCTCCATACGTTCTCGTGGAAGCAGCGCCATTTCCTTATTCTCGAATCATTTATTCACCGCTTTCGAGGGAGGCCCATTGAGTAACAGGACGAAAGTTGTTTTCCTGCAACTTATGTGTAGAATGACTGAGGAGAAAGTTTCCTAAGAGGTTGATCTCGTAAAACTTACTTGACATGGCCGTCACGCCAACCCTAAAAGTTTTCTTTTCCAATACCAGAAAGACTGGGGCTTCCGTTTTTTGAATGGCGTAAATGGCGAAAGAGATACGAATCCTTAAAATAGCTGCTCGTAACGTCAATCGCCACAAATTATTGGTTTTATGTTGTTTGATATTTAAAAGTTATTTTTGTTTGTGACCAATAAAATGTGTTGTAGTTTTCAAACGAATATACCAAAAAATTAGCAAAATCTGTTCGAGTATAAGCATGTACCTAAATAACAGATTTTTAATAACAATAATTAAAACATTTTATTTGTGTGAGTTGTAGTATCATACTAGACTGATTTCATTAAAAAAGTCAAAAATTATTTTGTATTATCCCTTATATCTAAAAATATATTTGACAATATGATATTAGGGTTCTATATAAAAACCACGGATATTTTTCAAAGATACTGGAATACCTTTAAAAGTTTTAACAAGTCCCGTCGTATCTAACAAAAGAGTTTTATTAAACTGAAAATTTGATTACCCATCAATTAAAAGCAAAAATTAAAATGCTTTTCTTGTTCCGAATTCAATTAAAAATACATTGAAAGAAGACGAAAACAAATTTAAAAGATAATTGAAGTACAGGTAAGTTGCTTAGACAAAAAAGAGCTTTGAGAAAAAGGCGTTATATTGGATATAATCAACGTTAATTAATTTTGTTTTGATATAATTACATTCCTTTGATAATCCTCAAATGTTTATATAATTAGAGGTTAAATACAAATTGTGTATTTGATTTGTTGCCAAATTTACCAAGATAAATAATTGTGTAAATCATACAGCATAGCAAAACCATAGAAATTACTTTACTTTAGCAGTAATCTTTAAAAAAATACTACTTTTTTTTAGCAATTGTTGAATTTAACCGTAAAAGTTGTCAATAAACCGTTACCATGAGTTTTACTAATTATTCTAATATTTATTTACTAAGTCTTCTTTAGAGTAATTCATTTCACTATTATTACTGTCGCTTTTCTATTAAACCTTATGTGAATCGAAAATTTTCCAGATTATCCTTTGACAGGAGCCTAATGCGTTATTTTACATATAAGCTATTTGTAAACTTCGCATTTTTTCATAGAAATGAGATTTCATGAAAAACTAATGAATTTTGGTATAGGAGCAGGTATAGCAAAGTTGTAGAGAATTTAATTCTGCATCTCATGGTATGAAAATATACAGGGCGTTGCATTTAAAAAAATCGAGATTTTTCAATTTTTCAATTGGCAATTTTGACATGATATTTTGGTCACCCTGTATAACGCAGGCCAGTTTTTGGAGCATGATTCGGAAGAGTCATCCTTACTAAACATCTGATAAAAAAATGGGCTTAGTAGCTATTGGTATAACCTGTCAGTATCAAAAAATGTAAGCAGCCAATATCGACTAGAAAAACCTTTCAAGCGAGATATCTGAATCCGAAAAAAATATAAAAAATGTGTGTTTCCATTTTAAAAAACCAAAGTTGGTGTCTGGCCAGTAAAAGTGGAACACCCTGTAAAGTTGAATTTATTTTTAATTTGTACATTCCGAGAAATGTGGCAACACAGTGAAAAGAAAAATTCATATATCCCTCATTTTAACATAGATGTTGGACTTTCCCGCACTAGTGGGACACGCTGTATATGTTCATACTATCTTCGGATATGTTTAACAGCTAACGTACCTACCTCACCGTCATTGTCCGTCAAATGAAACATATATGCTGACCGTCAGCGTGCTGATCGGCAGCGTCAGTGTGAAACGGGACTAATTGTAATCAAAGCGTCTCGGCAAGAGGATCGTGGGCAGAGTGACGTATAGTGTATTAGTGTTTTGCGGGCTTTTGTTCCCCGTTTCACACCAAAGGTCCGAAAATTACCTATTTGTTCTGGTGAACACATCACATTTCATCTACTTTTTTTGTCGGCAGTTTATACAGAAAACAAACTACCTAAAGGAGAGGCAAAAACGAGGGACTGGCGGAATTCTAATGAGATACAAATGACTGAGTCAACTGAGCGTTCTCATCCATCGATCCATCAGCGTGGGTTAAATCTATATCTGACAGGCCCGATGCCAACAGTAATTTATTACCATTTTAGAAACACAAAGCCTAATAAATTCATCATTATTAGATACGCGGGAGGCGGAATCTGCGGCAAAAGTCACGAAACCGATTTAGTTAAAGAACGCCAAATATAGTCACTTAATATATCACTATAATTTCTTAGAACCCCTGTTTAACGATCCTAATCTAATCGACATAATTACTTACTTGCGAGGGCGAAAACTTTGATATTTATCTGATTACTTTGATCACTCGATATTTTTCAAAAAATTTAAAACTAAAACCAAATCTCTTTATCTGTCTGTTACTCACGATCTTGCAATGAACCTTTACTCTTTTTGACAGGTATACTGTGGCTCCGAACAGAACTTTTTTCTGTTTTTTTTTCACGTAAAAAATGTAGCCCTAGTAAAAAATTTGGAATGTTTGACAATATTAATCATACGATAGGGCTTTTACAGGTCAAGCTATCCCTTGGGCTTTTCATCCCCATTGACAAAGGGTGAAATTGGCGATGCGAAACGAATTGGAAAACCTCGGTCAACCAACCACGATAAACTGACCGAAGGAGGGAAACTAGAAATATTGCCTATAAATATCAACTTAAAAAATGTGTTACGCCGCGTAAACATCGGTGAATTTAGGTTAAGTTTACAGAACAAAAAGGAATATAGCGCAATAAATTTGAATTTGAATTTATATATACTCTGGTAATATGTTGCGAAGTTGACAGTACCAACAAAGGACAATAATAGTGACTATAACTTAATTATAATTGAACTGCCTGATATAATGACGTATTTTCTATTTTTATTTGTCTGTTGCTTTTAATTCGACATTTTTAGTCAGGAAAAATACAATGTCGCAAGTGTTTACTGACATTTTTTTTTAAATAATAAATAAAAATTAAAATACCTAATAAACAGTGAAAACTAGTTAATGCCAATGTGTGACATATCCTTATTTTGCTACTATACAACAGTTGTAGATATCATCATAATTAAGTGTAAACATTGTTTCAGGATGACAAATGCCCATACCCCTGTCAGTGTCCCGCGATGGGTGAAGAATGCGGCGAATGCGAAGAATGCCCCCGCCAAATGGGTGAACCATGTAGCGAAGATAAACCATGCGACATGCAGAGAGGACTAATTTGTAGATACAAACATGGAGATTCCGAAGGAGTTTGCAGAGGTAAGAATAATAATTATATGTAAACAGAGAAATGAGAACGAAAAAATTGCATGGACATATCGTGAAGTATCTACGTTGTTCATAGAATCTTTTTTTATATTCCTCCTCAACTTGATACGGTATTATTCAGTTTCAAGTGACAAATGGTTCAAAATATTTTCATTTACTAAAATTAATAGTAACAATTTTTGGCATAATATTAAAGCAAGGGTTATTAAATATGATTCGTACAAAAACATGCTACATAGAATATAATAAAAGACATTTTCTGCTCTTTGTATACTTTGTACACTTCTAACTTCTATGATATTCGATAGTTAACGTGAAATATTAAGTTTAACCTTAGTTTCTCGGTATCGTAACTTCAACCGACGGTTTTCCAAACACTGTGGAAGACAATATTGTTTCTTTAATTTTTATCTTGATCTCAAGGCGTAATTCAGTTACAAAGGGTCGTTTAATGAAAGGCAACTTCCGTTCCGTTAAGTTAAAACGACAAAACTTTTATTTTATTTTCACATAAAAGTTTTCTTGGTATAACTCCACATGAACTGATGAAAAAGATATTATGAATTATGTACACTATTATACAGAATTTCACCTACCTTTTGAATCAAATTCAAGTACAAGCAACTAGAACGTGTTCTCCATATCTATTACGGGTCATAAATGTAGACATTAGGTAAGGCAGGATATTGGAGATCTGTGCAAACTGAGCTAGTGACAACGTAAAGTAGCTTACAGACGTTCAGTCACGCTTCCCTGATATGAATGTGACACAAAAGTAATTTCATGTAGCAAAAGTGTCTCGTACCTCTGAACATATATGTTGAGCATGAAGATATATCTAGAAGTATGATAAAATAGTTTCCCTTAAGACATTTTCAAATTACTACTATATTATTACATTGTGTGCCAGTAACTTAACTGTAATAATGTTCGTGTTAAAACTCCCTGAAATTATCGAGAGAACTGGAAAAAAATGCATAACCAACAGTTTCTGTTTAATATTCTCCATTTTAATGCGAATCCCTCCAGCTCCGAATCACCATGCAATATTTATGACTGGCTTTTCCCACCGAAATTTAAATAATACATTGTCGAGAACTGCATTACTATTGTGTTACTGTTGCATGCATCTTTGAATAACAAATGGGACGTCGCCATGGCAACTGCAGTGCTTTTTCTCGGATCGCCCGCATTCCAAATCTAAATAGCGGTAAATTTATACTCCGCTTCACTTTAGGGAACAAATTAATGCGCGCCTTAATTCCCCAGCTATGAATCTTCCGAGGATTTCGCTAAAAATTCTATCCTGTGCTTATATTGCAGCTGAAATGTAAATATGTCAGAGCGCAAGGACGCCATTCGAGGAATTTAAAGGAGGAGTAGGTAAGAATACCCTTTCTATGATTCCTAATAAGATTGTACAGTTTTTTAAATTAGGACATCCTGAAACATATACAAGCCATTCATTCCGAAGAACATCGGCAACGTTACTGGTTAATACAGGAGTTGAGTATTAGCAATCAAGAGACATGGTGGATGGATATCAGCCACAACTGCAGAAAGTTATGTTGCTGACAGTTTAGTTTAGAAATTTTTGGAATTACTTTGAAATACCTCAACGCCTTCGAAGCGAAGCACCAAACCCTTTAACGCTGATTCTCCGCTTTCTGAAAAACGTCCATTGTGCGGGTAAAATCCGAAATGTTCCTCGGCTTCCTCTCTCACGGTTAACTTCCGATTGAACCCGACTTAGCAGATAAATCGCCAAGTTTATCTCGAGACTTCTGAAAATTCGGAAAGCCAAGCGTCACATCCGCCAGTCGGTTAGGTCGGCCGGCGCCCGCGAATGTCATAAACCGCAAATGTATCCCCGCGCGAAGGCGACGAGCGGCATCTTGATCGCATCTAATAGGGGTGAACGACTAGCAGGCGGCATTCAGACTTGAGATCGGCAAAGCCAAAAAGAAAATCTAACAAACGTCTGTAAATATTGATGGTATGATTTGGACTCATTTTCGGTCTACAAATCTTTCCCAGTCTACAGCGTGCTTTGGAGAGACAAAAGAATAAATTGTAGGCAAGTACGCAGCGGTTAACGATGTTATCTTTACATTCAATACAACGAAAAACGTGCTGTTGAAAATTAAAAATTCAGATAAATATTTTAAATCCCGGAATTCCGAATTCTTTCGGATAGAACTGATTGACGTGAAACTTGAACTGAGAAACAAGAGATATATAGTGCCGACGAGCGCTTTTGCCCAGGGGGTGGAAGCCTCCTTCTAGGGGTGAAAAATAAAATATTGAAAATAACCCCGGAATCGATAAACCAATCAATTTTAAGCAAAAAGTATCTTATGAACATTTTTCATTAAATCAATATTTTCTGAGTTATTGGTGATTGAAAATGGACATTTCTTATTTAAAAAAAGACGTTTTTCAGTAGATTTCCTCGAATAACTCGAAAAATAGACATTCTGTGAAAAATAAACACCTCGAAGAAAATGAAGCTTATAGAAAAAGAAAAAGAATGAGTTATTTTTCATTTATTTAGGTGCAATAGGTGCTGAGATACGGCTGGTTGAAGATAATTTCATGTCCGCCAGAAACTAAATTGGAAGCATTTAACGTAAAATAACTAAAAAAATTCTATTATTCAAGAAAAATGCACTGAACATTTTTTAAAGTACTTTAAAAAATGTTTAAAATGAATTTGACTTTATGTCATTAGCATAAAAATTAACAGAGCCATGATCAAAATAAAACTGTTTATTCGCTACAGGCAGATTTCGATCGTCATCTATGCAAAAATTGAAAATGAAGTTTCACTCGCAACATCAAAAACAAGCTGTACGCATGTGTTATCGATCACCAAATTTGCATCATGCTGAAGTTAACAGTTTAGAGACTATAAATAAAAATAACTTTAATTTTCACCTCCTTTCAGGCACCCGTAACTTGTTAACGAAGGTATGAAAAACGTATGAAAATAATTTATATGAAGAACTGATATTATTTTGGCCTCATCTATTTGTACTCGACTTTTTTGTATCAAGTACCGGGACACCCTGTATAGTTATAGCTCGGAGCCTTTATAATCAAACATACTATATACACTTATTTTACACTAAAGATACGGTGTATATTAACATAAATCCGTATGTAAAAATAGAATCAAAATTGAACTACACTTTTTACGCCCTATAAATTGTAAAATTTTGTTGGTAATCCCCCTGAAGTGAAACGTTTTGCAAAGCATGAAATGAATAAGTATTAAACTTGAAAATGATAGTCATTTACTGAGATCCGAATACCATCACGAAACTCGGGATATGCAGGGTATTACAAATCCTTAGTGGAGTGAGAAAGGGGAATTATTTCCAAGGAAAGATTTGTAGAAAGCAGTTTGCTGAGGTACATTTAATAAATTTCGTCTTAGGGTGCGTTCACACGACGCGAAGTTCGGCGAGTATACTCGCTCACAAATCAAGCTGTCTGTCGTTGTTCTATTGTGACCCCGCCAGTACAAAATTCTAGCTATGACAGCTTACACATTGACGACTGAGTATGCTCGTCGAACCCGACGACGTGAGAAAGCGTCTTTATTCTGGTTTCATGAAAACAGCTTAAAAGTTTTTTGATAAACATTTATGTTATACAGGGCTGTTAAATATATTTTATCCGTATTTTAAATATTTAAATCTAGACAATTAATTATTATATATTTTGGAAAAGGTCTATATAAAAGAACATCCTTGTTTTTTAATGTACAATACTTTAGTATTAATTACCCTTTTGTTAATAACTTTCCCTAAATATTTCCATTTACTAATTCTATGGCTTTTCTTATTCTCTCATTTGACACCTATTCACGAAAACCGAGCCCACAAAAAGCGGTTTTACATTCAGTACCGTTTTTATATTATCACTTAATACCAGCGAGAAGGGGCATCAATTTAGGCCGTGTAAATTAATTGATAAATTCGTCCAATTCTAAACAAATGCAAATCAATTAGGGCGAGGGTTTAACGTGTATCCGTTTGAGTTTAATTAGCACTTGTTTTGGTTTTTGTAATTAACTAAATGCGTTCTTGGAAATGGATCTTCGTTATTTGAAATGAACTCTTACAGGACACAAACAACGCATTATGTGTGGTAGGTGTAACTTAATTTGCCAGGGGAACAACCGGTGGAAGAGGCGGGAAGCAAATAAATAAAATTTATTAAATTTTACAGACGGAAAACGATTACACCAATACATTTTTTATTTTGAGGATTTTTATTACTTTTTTTTAATGTCTTATTTGGTGCTTGTAAATATTGGACAAAAAATCGCTATAAACAGATGTAAAAAAAGATATATAAGTTCTGTAAAAAATTGTCCTGTGTAGGACAGAATGAAATTCCGAATAACTTTTCTAATACAATTTAATTAAATTCAAAAGTTGCACAGAAACTTTAACCTGAAATTCATTTTAAAAAATATATAGTTTTTATAACTTTTTCAAAGATAATGTTAAGTCAAAACATTCCAAAATTGTACCATACCAAATTTAACCATAATACATATTTGATTTTTCCTGAAAAATGGTTTAACTATTCATTCATTCTGACCTGAAATCCCGGAAACCAAAGATTTTTCGAGCATTTGCTTCTATACAAAACAATTTCATTATTTTCCACATGAGATATTTTCCAAAGTTCCGTGTATATTGTTACGAAAAGTAAGATTATTTATATGAGTATAGCACCCCTGTACTCTAATTATAAAAATATGTTTAATTGTTAAAATATTAATAAATTATTTTGTTTTAGAATCATCAGGAGTGCCGTGCGTTGTATATAACAAGACTTATGAGCATGGTGAGACCTTCACTTTAGACTGTAGGACTCAGTGTGCTTGTCAAGTAAGTAATTAAAGAAATAAATTAAATAAATAATGCTTTCTATGATTAAAAACACATCAGTGCAAAATCCTTTCATATTGATAGTTGATATATAATGCTCCTTAGTTGAATGATAAACTAGTCTGGTTAGAACTTTTAACAGTTCCCGTATAGGATCTATTTAAAAGTATTGAAACCGACCGAGGAGAAAGTTACCTACTTTCTAGTTATTTGTACGCCAAAATTTTCATTCATTCATTCAAATTCCTAAAACAAACTTAGCAACTCGCAACAAGTTTTTGTGAAATTTGATAAATTCGTAAAGTAGTCCCTTAGGTTTGCCACACACGCAGTGGATCGTCTAGTTCTATATAGAGACCAGGTGTAATTGGCAGCAATGGTGATTTCTTAAGTTGTATTCGTAGAGTTGATTAAATAACATTTTCCTAGCAAAAAATAATCTAACAAGTTTATAACTGAAATATTCATTCATTCAATTTTTAAGAGCTATATCACTAATTAATTGAAAATTTTCGTCATAGAATAAAGTATGTAAAGCAAAAAAGAATTAGGTGTCCATTTCTTCTACAGAAAGTAATTGTTGCTTGCAGTTTTCAAACAATTAATTATTTTCACTGACAGACAGATTGGGTGGATATTCGCTTACAGAATGAAACATTTCTACAAAGTATTCATTTTGCATCACATAAAATGCTTAGACAGAGCTACTATTTTTGGTCCAAAATTTCTTTATTCGTCGTCTAGGAAGCTATAAAAATTAATTGCCCTTTGAAACTACTTGGCGAATAGTAACAGTAAACAGACATGAAGTAATGATTCAACAGCAGTGTTTTAAAATTTGAAATACGCGTTGGTTTCGTTGGCAGAAAGCGTGGTGTCTGCAGCACGATATCGATTTAACATGTATCATTTTTGTTTTCAGAACGGAACTTACGGGTGTTCATCTTTATGTCCGCAAGAGCACATATCACCGAGAGGTTCGTGTCAGCACCCGCGCTTAGTTGAAATTCCAGGACAGTGCTGCAGGGAGTGGATGTGCGACAGTCAAACTGGTATGGAAAACACATTTCTCCTTTTATTCCAGTTAGATGAATGACTAAATAAAATATAAAGTCTGATTTATAGAGTCCGGAATCATCGAATAATAATAAATTAACGTAGACATAGTGGAAACCAAATCTCGCTTGCGATAATGCAAAAACGCAGCTCATTAAAGTTGCGTTTTTGAGTAGCGCGGGAAATTTCTCATTTCTGGCAACACAACAAATATTTCAACCGCATCAGGAACATGTTTTTTACAATACCATTACAAACTGCCTGGTAGCGGGATTATCGGCGCTTCCTCCTGCTGGAAAAAAGCGTGATTAATGTTCGTTTTACAAACTGTCTTCTCCCTTTTTATACACATGGGATTTTAAGCTTTAACCCTTTGCGATACATTGGCGTGGGAAGTGGAAGTGATAAATTTGACACAGTCCAAGGAAACTCCCTTATTTGATTGTTCTTTCTTTTTTCATTTAAGTAATCACTCCAGTGTCTACTTCACTTTACGCCCGGCTGTGACTGGATGAAATATTATATTTTTCTATAAGATTTTACCCTGGCAGCGTAGAAATTTTAACTAGTTTTGTACTTACCGTCCTCGGTCGCAGTGAAGGAAACTCAAATATTTATTTTGTTTTTGTATAGTTCCTGAAAATGAAATTGAAGCCTACTTAATTGAAAACGTGACATAGTCCATTTAAGTTTGCAATGACGTCACAGTGCGAAATGGCACAGTGTTGCCAAGTTGGATTTTTTTTCAGGAAACAAATTTTTTGATAGCGAATCAAGTTTATTAGAATTGTAAGCTAAAACCACAGATTATGTAGTCCATTTAAATATGTAAACTATCAATATATTAATTTTCATTTGGAATTGTGTAATATAAATGACTTATATGACGTAACACACGAGTGCCATACAAAATTTTATCCAACACTTTTATAGAATTTCGTTTAATAAAAGTAACTTAAAATTTCAAGTCGTCAATATCAGAAAAAGTAATTTAACGAAATGAATGTATTTTTAAATATTACAAAGGATACGAGTATCAACCTAAATTGTGTCTGTAACCAAAGTTTCAGTAAACAAACAATATTTTTTGAGTTGAAATCACGTTGAAATCCTAAAACCAAGACTGAAAAAATGGAAAATGTGGAAATTCCATCTGAAATTTTAGAAAAAGCTAATGCGGTTGCTGCGGGCATCATTCCAGAGAGATCAAAATCTATATACAACAAAAAACTGAAGGAATTTCAAAATAAAGATGTCTTGCTGGCTTATTTTTTCAGTTTAAGTGAGAAATTAGCTGCATCCACATTGTGGACTAAATATTCCATGTTGAAGTCAACTTTGAGTCATAGGCCACATTATTGCTTTTAAACCAAAGAAATTATAGTTAGTATCATTATCTACAAGTGTTGGATAAATATTGTTTCTATAAATAAATAAAAAACGTTATTTATCACTGTACTAACATATGTGTCCATCATTTTAGCAGAGCAGCCACCATCTTGCCAACCAGCGTTTTCCAGATGGTCCAGCTGTACCAGCGATTGCGGCTCGGGATTGTCCACCCGTCGATCCAACCTAAATGCCCGTTGTCAACCTGATACCGAGACTCGTATATGTCAGACAAGGAGGTGTTTGGACTCGACTCAACTTAACAGCCACCAGAAACATCATCACTTAAGGGTAACTGACAACTGCATGCCCTAGCATATGTTTTCGAAATGCGCTTCGTTCTATTGAAGGAGAAATGAAAATAGTTATGTACGAGAGGCACAAGAAAAAATGACATGTCTGGGGGTTTAGACATACGCTTTGCTTGAGGTTACCAAAAACACAAAACTTTTTTAAAGAACGTCCCCGTCTTTCTTAACGATGCAGGTATTAGTCGTAATTTCAGAGATAGGACAAATTCCTTCTTATACCGCAGGCTGAGCAATTCATTTGTAAGATTAACCGCGCTTGTTAGACACCCGGAAGGATGTCATCTCCGAAAGTTATCGCTCACGGCTTCCCGTGCGCTCACACTATGCACAGGAGGAATACTAAAGATCCAAATCTGCACGCCGCATGTTACACTTGATACTCGTTTTTGGCTATGAAGTGATTACATGAAGCGAATACAATTTCTTCAAATGTATTGAATTCTCTGACCAAGAACTATAAGTATTCAAAAATTGGTAAAGATATAGTGATACTAGTGTTATTTTTAACTTCCCGATCAACAATTCTTTAGGAAAGTAAAAAATGGGTAAGCCTAAATATAGGCAAGAAGCAATAAAACGACTTACCAAGTTAGGTTGGGTCAATGTGTTTTATAATGACAAATTACATAGAACTTCTGAAGAATACAGTGTCTGAATAAAAACTATTTCTTTGCTTATTTCTTTGCGAGATCTTCCTTGAGAATTTGATCTAACCAAGGATTCAGACTACACAACTACATTTTAGCAGGAGAAAAACATAATATATTTTTAACGGGGCATTTTACCGTACAAACCAAGACAACCAGTGGTTATTTTGCCATTATAGGTCATTTGTTTAATCCATAAGAAATACTCACTGACTATTTTTGTCCATGAAAACTTCTCGAACTTTATTTTCTCTAATTTAATGGACTTTAGAACTTTACACGGTCGATAGCCGCACAGTTTAAGGTGTCAGTACTTAAATCGATGTGTCGATCTGCCCAAATTTCGAATCCCGCGGCCGGTAGACCGTAGATTAGCTATGCTTGTACGGAGGATTGGCACCCTCAAGAATGTTGGTTTGGGTCAATGTGAGAGATTGACACCGGTTGGCATTTTGACCGCCCCCCTAATTAATGAGGTTTTCCAGGTTTTCCTCATTCCTGCACTGAATGGTGGTTAGGGCCTACCAACATAAGTCGTTCCTGGGCGGAAATGCGGCCTGCGTAATAATAATATGCCGCCTCCTCTCCCGCACAAGTCTCCGACTTCTGGGCTAAATATCGTAGTTAGAATAAGGAGTAGAGATGTTATTATTATTAGAAAAAAAGAGGCATACAAAAGCATATATCATTTCAGCAATGGTAAACTATACAAAATACAATTCTATACTTTTTTACAGCCGAAGGATGTTTCAAATTTACTATGGTTATGATACATTTTTTTACAAGTGTCCTGTTATTTTATTTTATTTTAAATTATTTAATACACTGTTTAACATGTACTATCCAATTGTAGAACAGGGATTTTACAAACATTAATAAAATAAGTACATTAATTACAAACAAAATTAAAAGGAACAAAAAATTACAGACCATCATAAAAAAAGAAGGAAATAAATAAAATCTATACACTAAATAATACACATAATTGAAGATTAAAATTACATATTTGAAACTACCAGACATTAAAAATAAAGTATTTTTAAGTCATTAAGGCTGCAGATAAAAATATAAATATCTACAGAATTTGAGAAACTCCTGATATAGTAAAATTGAGTGAGTGTTATTGTGAAAGTCGTTAGTTCATTTATTCCACAGTACATAGAAAGAAAATGCAAACAAATCCACGACATTTGCACACAGTAAATACTGTGAATCAGTTGTTCGATGCTCCAACAGCAGTATCACATGTCAATTTTATTATGTTACCCGAAAGACCCATCAAAATCAATACAAATACTGTACAGGATGTCCGGAAGCGAGTGAGTAGTTTCCTTGAGTGAAAAAAACAGATTTAGATGAAACTAAGTCTTTGTAGAAGATGATGTTATAACAAAAAGGCTATTTTCTGAATTCTTTGTGGGTCTCTGGAAGATAGAAGCGTTGGCCACTGGATCTCAGTTAATTTTTTTTTACCGTAAATAAAATAGCGTTTTATAAAACACCTGAGTTTTCTCCAAATCTCTACGAACAAGAAAGAAACAAGATTCCACATGTATTAGCTACAAAAACAATCCTTCATGAAAAAAAAACTAACAAAGCTACTTTTTTAAGGTCTGTAATTTAAAAAAAAAGCAGTATTGGACAAAGGTAACATATACTCGGTTTATTTTCATAGAAGTTGCTCTTAAGGTTTGGTACATTCATTTTTAGACAATACCTATGTAAATAATAAAAATTTAATTTTTCGTCTAACTCATGTAATGACTACACGTGCGTAATTTTAATCAGCAAAGTACGTCTAATTAGCTATAGCGCCTTAATTAGCCCTTCAGGACAAAGTAACAGGCCCAAACACGGTGGGGTGTTGGGGGGTGCGCGCAAGCACCTAACAACCCTAACCGAGGACGAAATTAACACCACTTCCTTCCCATTGCCGCTCATTGTGTACGAATGTATTGTTCCAGAGGGGGCACGAATGTAAGGCGACACACCGCCTCAGCACCGCCGTGTTCCTGCGTTTTGGTCCCTGCAGGAGCAGGAAGCGCTTCCGGCCCAAGTACTGCGGCGTCTGCCCGGTGCCGGGCGTCTCCTGCCAACCAACTTTGAGCACCACGGTGAAGGTCGAGTTTCTCTGTGAAGGTAAATAAACAATATTTCCTTAAAGTGTTGTAAATAATCACCATTTGGAAAGTTGCAATATAAAAAAATTATAGTTTGAATCTACTCAGATAGCTAACCCTCTTAATAATCTCTTAGAACAAAGGTGGAAGCGGTCGACGCTTATGTTTCCCGTTGGGACAGCTCTCTAACTGAACTTATGACAATGAGTGATTCCTTGTGTATGTGCATCTCTGATGATTAGTGTTCTGATTGGCTATGACTATAGAAATGCACAGACAAAACTGGCTTGTTCCATCGATTCAATAGTACACTGTTAGAAAGCTTTGTTCCTGAACATTGTAGGGTTTTGTGGTTCATCGAAAATTCCTTTTCAGTGTACCACAGGTTGAAGAGGTTGAAGGAGATTTTTCGCAGCTCGATCAATACTTTTTGGGGGGTGCTAAATGATCTAAGGACGAAATCAATTCTTTTTGGTCAAACTTATTTCTGTAGTGGTCTCTGTCTCGACAGTCTCGTACACATAAGTAGCAAGGAACCTTCGTATTTCCTTGTATTTGTCCCAGAATTGATTCGAATAGGCTATTGGAATTGACGCTTATATATTGCGATTGTAAAGCAAAACATCTCCCGGGTTCATTGATTAAGTTTTTACGCATCCAAAATCTACTCGTTTGAAGGCTGTGTCCAAGAAGAAACCTACTGAATGCAACAGCCTTCTTTTTAGTTTTTTGAGGTTATAGACATAATTTTTGGCAATTTGAAACAAACTTAAAGCTCCTCCTGTGGTAGATTCAGTTTCTGGGGTCCAAATACAAAGGTGACATGATTTTTATGCCTGAAGAGGATCACTTTTTTGTGCCTATATTATTTTCAGAATGAATCTTTCCACATTCCTAATAGATCTATCTCTTCATCTCCACAGTAAATCGCAAGGGTTTCTCCAAATCTAAGTTACCCCAAAGATAAGCTTGGTATAACTGCAAATATCGACCATACTATTTCCTCCAAACCTAAAGTATGTTTTTAAGAATAGTGCGGTTATGTCATAATATAAAACCGTAAAATATTCTTAAAATCAAAGCTTATTTGAGTGGACCAACACCAAAACAAGGTCGTACAACCACTTGTGGCGAACCGTTTGAAAAATAATTTTCCGCTTCCTTGAGCATGAAACATATTGAATCATAATTTCTCGTTTTGGTTACAAGTGACAAAAAATATATTTTTCCAGGGTCAGAATCAACGGAGAACGCATCAGAGTTGCTACCGGAGTACCTCGAACCGGGCGCCGATCTCTGGGCGGACGACCTCACCGAGGAGCCCGACGTCTCCACCGAGTCCAAGCTGATGACTGTCTTAGTGCAGTGGGTGTTGAAGTGCAGGTGTGCCGCCGACCCCTCGGCACCCACCTCGAGTACCGGTGAGGTGGTTCTGCATCGCGTACATCGGACTGCAGCTCCTTAAAGTGTTACTCCAACTTAGACACGACGGTAGCGTATCATATCACCAGAAAAGTTAGGTAGAAGGCGTGGAGTGGGTCCAGATGGGCTAGCGAGCCCGATTGTTATAATTAGGCCTTCGAGCGCTTGTGTTTCTTATCTGTGCCTTTCGAACGGTTCAGATTTGCGACTGGTTTTGTGAAGTCACCACTTTTCTTTTCAAAAACTGTCATGAAATGTTGGCATATTTGTTTCTTAAGAGTCAAAAAGATTTTTTTGAAGAAAACAGATTTAGAATTATTGCAGGTTATCTATCGAATGGCAGTAAAAAAATATTTACCAGCATCTTGTAGTCATACGACGCCAATCTGTGTAGTTGGTTGCCTACCCTTTTACCAGGAAGAGCTGATGTACTGAGCAAAAATAAAATTGATTAGTTGTGTTTCAACACAAGAACTGAAATAAATTCATTTCTATTTTCTTTCAGTACTATATATTATAGAAGTTTGACAACACATTATAGTCCAGACGGTATCTGTTTCAAAAAGATACGTCTTTCCAAGAACTTTTAAAACCTGCTTTAAAAAATTTGATTTGATTGAATATTCCCAAACTTATTCTAATTGTTTATAAGTACAAAAATTCGATCAATGTTTAAACAAGCGCCATAGCTCTCCCAATTGACGGATTCGAGTTTTTTTAAAAAAGTTTTAAAACTAGAGAGCCCTTCTATATATGATTATATTTTAAAGTATCTTAGGGTCTTGGTTTTTGCTGTGCAAAATTTTGAAAATTTGCAAATTTTTTTTCAAAATCTGGATTGCAAAATTATTATGCAAAATCTATCGAACCGATTTTGATGAAATTTGGTGGGATGAAGTTTTATTGAGGCAAGTATAAAGGTCCTATACCCAATTTAAATACCCCAAAAAAAAAATCCCTAAAAAGCATTGTTTTTTAACTCCATTTTTGCGATTTTTTTTATTTTTACCATAATAATTATGATTCATTCGATTTGTAACTAGTCATGTTTTGTTAAAAATTTAATTACAAACATTTTTTCCTTTTCCATTTTCGCCTAAGATCAACTCTTGAAAAGATACATAATTAAATAGGAAGAAAAATATGACATTTTTCAAATTTTTTTAACATATTGTGCCGCCAAAAGTTAAGCCCACGTTTTTATTTATGCGCATAGAAAATTTTTCATTTTTAGTGATATTTGAAAACCAAAAAGCCAAAAATCTCCGTGGATATACGATTTACCCAAACCAAAACAGATATCGCCTAGTCTATTAATAGTTTCAACATATCAGTTATCATTTATTTCCTGTATTTCCAGTCATTGTTTTTAGTTATTTGCGCATTTCTTAAATAAAGAATGCCTTGCCTCGAAATCAAAAAGTTGATTTTATCAATTTTAGTTTTACCTAAATAACTACAAATATCTCACACTGGGAAGTGTATCGACAGAAAAACAGACATTTGAATGATGAAATGGATTTTAAAGATGAGTAGTACTTGATGTCATCGCGTTGAGAAAAATTACCTTGTGATATTGTAATTTTATTTATAATATTGTTTTTATTTCGATATGACAGAGACGTCTTTATATTAATAATTAGACATTTACTGAAACGAGATTTAGAGTAGGGTGTCTACTTCTGCAGAAAATGAACAACAAGAACTAAGGCCATTCCAAACAAAACAGTTTCAATGATTAAATGAGCCTTATAAATGGACACCATTACTGTTTTTCCGGATAAACCGAGACTGGAGAGCTGATTCGTTTAATGAAAAACCCAGATTAACATCATTGTGTTCATAGAGAAACCCTGAGGTTAACTAAAATTAAATTGTTTTTACACGGAAAATAGATTTTCAGGCGTAAATAATTCTATGCTATAATTTCCATCTAGTTGTTTGCTCACTTAATTTGCTTTAGGACATTTATCATGAAACATCGCAACAAAGTTTTGAAATTCGAAGTGATATACGAAATATGACTATTTATATTTTTAAACTGCACAGATAAGACAATACAGCTTGTTCAAAAGGACCAATTGTATCTCTAATAGTAGTCATCATCATGTAATACAAGTATTTAATTTATCTATGACATGTACTAAGAAAAGTGGGTTTCGTGTAATGTGATGTATTTTTGTTGCTGAAATATTTATATCAATATTGTTTTGATTATCAACACGATCATCAAAGATATGTCGACTTTGTAAATAAAATTTTGTATGAAATTTACGAGAAAGTACTAGCATTCTTTGATTAAATATTCAAAAACACCACCATTGACCTCTAAACACTTTCTGCTTCGTTTACGAAAGACGTCTGTATATGTTCTGAACATATATTATTTTGACGTATAGAATTCATTCCAGGAGTTTGGTGCGATTCTCCCTGTATTATAGCAAGCTAGATAAATTAAATACAAGACATATGCTTAAATGATATATCTATTATAAGGAATTCTGTTATGTTATCGAACCCTACGCTTTAACAAGTTCTAAACAGCTAAATCCCTTACCAGTTATGAAAAATAATTTAAAATTGATGTAAATATTTTGTAAATTTAATACCACTTGTAAAATGAAATGATATTTTGTAACACGAGCTTCAAAAACTGCTAGATGTAGGAGTAAAGAAGGGAAGCGTGAGAGATCTAACAAATAAGAACACCCTAAGTGCACCTTTTAGAACGTCGGACTGAAGGAAAAAAAAATTAAAAATAAAGAGACATACTCGGCACAATCCGGCTGTGGAGCCGTGATAATAATTATTATTGTAATAATGATGAATACTAATAATAAAATAAATTTTCTAGTAGCTGTTGTCATGGTAATCTAGGAATTATTTTTTATTAATTGTAATTTTTAGAGGATAACATATACTAAGTATTGTTTGTAAATAGAATGTACTTAAATGGTAATAAAGGATTATAATAAAGTTTACTAAAAATGCTTTGTTTCCATCTTTATAGTCCATATTTTATGATAAGTTTTTAAAGCTTTAATCTTGAAGTTTTCGTTTAGTTTCATTTATACTATCACGTATTAGAATAGTTTCTTACATCTGCTAATCCACCTGATAAGATACGACAACAGAAAATGGGAAAATTTACTAATATTAAAATTCCCGTCTTTCTCTTGAATTAAGAGATTTGACAACAACAACAAACAAACAATTTTTTTAAGGTCACAGCAACCTGTGCAGGTATGAAAATTAAGAAAAAAGGTAAAAAAAAACAGTTTTCATGACGAATTTATGAAAAACTTATGGTGCGTGTTTCTGATGAATCAAGCATAGACAACTTTAAAAACAAAATAAAATATTAAATATTTTCTTAACAATAATTTATTAATACTTGTTTTTGCACTGTACAAGTAACATAACTTTTATAAACAATTTTTTTACAGGTACACTAGTATCTTAAAACCAAAGTAAACTCTACTAATCATTAAACTACCGTATGTTTATCACAGTTGGCGTATCCACAAGAATATCATCGACGAATTTCTCCCAATCGCTTCTCCATTTGCTGTAAGCAGCTTCCTTTTCCGCCTCTTCCATAGCGCTAAATTCGATGGAATTCATGGCCAGCTGCTTCAGGAACCTCAGGTCCTCGTTCCTGCTAGCCATCCCCATGAACGCGAAATACCAATCGTAACTCAACCCGTTGGAACCCCAGAAGCTAGGGTCGTCGGAAGTAATCACCACGGGAAAGTTATTGGCTATCAGAATCGACCCTGGATGATTCCGGTGGTCGTCCACTAGCTTCAGAACTTGGTTGGAGATGGGGGATATCTCCAGAGCTATCTTACGCTCCTTCACCACGTCGTATAACGCAGGGTGTTTCAAGATGGCGTACCCGTGGCCGATACGAGTGGTGTTTAATAAGATAGCGTCGAACAGGTTTAAGTCTGTCGATTCACCATTCCAGTTGGTTTCCCCGGCGTGGAAGAAGAATTTCGTGCCCTTGTCTTTGAGTTTCAGGAGCTGGGGAATGAAGTCTATCAATGGATATCCTGCAATAAAAGAAATGTAGGAGAATACATTTTATAATTAAAAAAAAGTTTGTCAATATCTGGTTAGTCATTCTTGGAAAAAGAACTTTGAAAACAAAGCTTCAACTAAAGGAAAAGTATAATGTTCCCAGGTATACAGTGAAGTTCATTTTCGTAAAAACATTATTTTGATAGCTGTTGCGATGTAAATTGTACACAGATATTCCTAAAGTTAATACACAATTTCATAAAGTAAATAGAAATTATTTAATTGTGACAGCGCGGACCTTGTTCTATTTATATTAACAAATTTTTTTTATTTAGAATGTAGCGTAAAAGATTTGTTTTAATATTAACACAATCAATGAACTCAAAATATTTCTTTGCCTGAGCAAGCACGGAAAACGCAAAGACTAGAAAATTATTTCGTTCTCAAGAATAGTTATTGCGTTTTAGAAATTGAAGAAAAAAAACGTATGCGTAAAAGGTACAAGGTAATAGTACCAATCAGAGAAATTGACATATATTAGCCAGAAATGAAATTTGCTCCTGTTTAAAATGACATAACTGACATAATTGAACTTTATTGGAGTCACAATTTAACGCTTCGTTTTCGAGATACAGGGTGGATATACCGAATTTTCTACAGAAATCGGTCGGCTTGATCGCAATTTATGAAATTGGAATGACAGTTGACACGATGTATCTCCTGCTTGATTAAGTCTTATTTTAGCCATAAATACTAGTTTTTACAGTATCGTGTCTTTCAGTCATAGCCAAATAAATTCCATCAATCTTCAGGAGTTCCGCAAGGGTCAATCATGGGACCACTCTTCTTTGTTACTTTTATTAACGATCTAACTGAATGTCTTATTTACTGTATGCGCACGAGCTTAAATTGTTATTGGAAGGAAATTCTTCTATTGTACTAGATTATAAAATAATCTTAACATTTACATTACCCATGTGTAAAATTGTATATTCTACAGTTGACGCAAAACTACTATAGTGTTTGACTATAAAATTGGTGAATGAATTATTTTTTTTAATTCAGTTAAGCCTTTCTTTTTTACCTTAAGACGTTATCACATTGAGTATTGTATTTTCAAATAAATAAACCAATAAAAATAAAGCATTTCCAGATGTAGGATTAAAATTTGGCAAAGTATTTTAGTTACATCCTATATAAATTCATAATTTAAAATATGGAAATGTAGTGTACAAAAATGTAACAGACAATGTATGAAAATAAGAGAAAACTTTAATACCCAATCTTCACATTATATTTCAATGAAACAAGGAGATACCATCAGGATATTTTGGTTGATAGCATACACTTTAATACTTAATCATTTTTCAAGCGAATTGTAAGTCACACGGTCCCCTGTAGGTGAGCGAATATAGAATCTACATTATCATATCTATTAAAGATATGTTGATAAAATTAGCTCTGAATATATTTTCGAGGCCATTATTGTGGTATATTTTTTCCATCTGCTTTATATAAGTTAAAAAGTTGGATTACCTGTCACTTAGTAGACAAATATTGGTCTAAACTAAAATCTGCTAGCGAAACACACACAGTTTTATTCAATCAAATAATACAGCTACTTTCAATAATGTACAAAATTGCATACTGACCTAGATCTTCCTGTCCAACCAAATCAAATCCTGCCACAAAATCAGGATAAAGCTCCAGAAATTTCAGACACAACTCGACATACCCATCGACTGTCGTATTGTCGACTTTCCTTCGGGGAGCATAAATATACCTAGCTCCTTGGAAATCCGGATAGTCTTTCTTAAACTTCTGCACCGTTTCATAGTAAATCCCCACAACTTGCACTCCCTCGTAAGTATTCCCTTCCAAATCGTACATATCCGGAAGAATGCCCCTGAACTCCAAATACATCACGTTGTCATCATACAACTCCTTCAGGACTTGGTAAAGGTACTCTTGCCAGACATCCTTGTTCCCCAACAGACCAGCCACTGTCTCGAAAATACCCATGAACGCAGACCACACGGAATTCAAATCGGGATAAGCCGAGTCAGGGTCGTCTACCACGAGAGTAAGCTGCGATTTCAGGAAAGTGTCGAAGCTCTCGTTTGAAGACCTAAGTGTGCTTAGACGTTGCCAGTCGCAGTCGTTACCGACGGAAGTTTCGTTGAAAAAGTACAACAAGTATATTCCGTTCTTCCAACAGCCGTATAGGTTGTCCTTGTATGTTAAGTTGAAGAGGTACTCGTTAGAGCCTATGGCAGTATCGTGACAGTGAAGAGATGCTCCCTTTGGAAGTTTCTTAATGATTTTGAAGACCTAAAAACATAAAAATCGTTGATAAGTCCCAATATTTTTATTGCGTGGTTAACTAATCAAGTGATTAAACTGTGAAAGAATCGCATTTGGAAGGTACAAGTTTATTTACAGTCTAATCATCTGATTGGTTAAGAGAGCATTGACTCCAGATACTGGATGGCAAAATTTCGTTTATTTTAAGATCACGTTTATTTTGATAAAAAAAATCTCATGATGACTTCAATGCTAATTTATTATGAACAATTATTACGAGAATACTCATTGATATTGAAGACCCAATTGAGCAACATTTGTCTTGATCTTATTTAAGGGTAATGAACGAATAGTGATGTAGATTAGTATTAGATGTTTGTTTGTAGAAAAATTGTGCCATGTCTGGTTATTGCCGTGTCTTACAGACTGCTTATCTCTATTCCTAGTTTAATCAAGAAAATATGGATACATTATTTTTGTGTGATTGGTTGTAGAGCATTTTTTAACAAATCTAAGATAAAATTTTCTATATACTTTACACGGAGAATCAAATTCAATTGCCAAACAAGGATATCTAGGACAATCGCTTTTTTATATTAAATAGAATTTCCATTAATACAGGTGCCAACTTCCTACAATTACTATCAGGAGTTACTTTCACAAAAACAATGATTTTAATAAAAACATTTATTTTCCTTGCCCACATCTAAATCCTTATTCACAAACGCAATGTTACTATTACAAATACTTGTTTACAATCGTGTTATATTAGTTTATAAATAAAATTCGTTTGCATAAACAATAGCACTTACCTCGGATCTTTCAACTTTAGCCTTGCCCTTGAAGAAGTGCTGAGCCGGCAAAAACTCACCCGGGTTAGCAAAACCGTAATCGTACTCTTTGAATTTGTACCCCATGAGTACTTCATTGGCCGCTTCTTCCTTAGTGTTTAGTACTAAGGAAGAACCCACGGCGATACTCCGATCACTTTTTATCAGTTTAGCGCGATCTTCCCAGTAGCTTGCCAATGTCGAGGTTGCACAGAGGGAGATGACGATCACGGTCACTCTCAGTAGTTGCATTCTGACAAGCGACGTCGTACCGCTTACGCGAAACAAGACAATGAACTGAACGGACACTTTGTGATTGATTCAATTACAAATATTTGTCGCTGTTTTTATACATCATAGCCGTTCATGATACGTCGGCTGGCTCGTGTAGTAAAAATTCATTTGCGATTTGCGATTGCGCTTTTATTTGATAGAAAAATACAGCGTGTAGCCAGAAACTTTATTTACTGAATTTAGAAACCTTTTCTAATATGAGACGTATTTATTTCGATATATATGTCCGGATATAATTAAAAATAAATTGAGATGTTTGTACTTAGTTTTTTACTTTATAAAATTGTCTGCAGCCTCTAAAAATAGATACCGAAAAGATAAATATTATGTAGGTCATAAGTTATTATGGAAAGAAACAACAAAACATTCATACAATTAATATCAACACGATATATTTTGAAGATCAAAACATTTTATGGTTTACTGGGTATCAGAAAACAACAAACATCTTTATAATGATTTTTATGACGATATTTCTGTACTTACAATTGCAATTTTTTACATGCAACAAAGTCAGATATTCTCTAGAAAAGCGAATATCCAATATGGCAAAAAAAAGAACAAAAGAGGGACATTTTCGATTAAAAAAATGAAAGCAAAAATAAAAATTTTAAGGTCAAATTTCTCTTCGGCAAGAAATTCCTTATTAAATTTTACAACTTTTCACAAATCTGACCAGTTTTGTACACAGATTCATAAATGATTACAAGCCACATGACCAGTAATTTTGTATGGAACAGTTATTTTATTTTATTCAAAAATTATTAAAAGAATAGGATCAATATTGCATTAAAACACAATTCAACTTTTATTCAAGCAATCAGCGAACTGAGCGAACACATTAGCATTATCTCGAGTTTGTCGTTGTTCATTATAATCGAATCATTAATATTGGTGACGCTGGGACTTATGAATTTTTAGTTGACAGTACTAGCCGTGTAGTATATTCAATCTTTTTCTTTTTTCAATTTTTACAGCCACATAAAAAACATTACTATTAAGGAAAAAATCATTAATATATTAAATACAATTGTTTATCTGTGACATTTTTTCTGAATTGGTTATTTCTGCAGCAACATAAAAAAATAAAATTGTGCTATTGTTTTGGAGGAAATGATTAATCAAAGCATTGTAGTGACTTACGTACTCAGTTGAAACCTACACGTTTTAATAAAACTAGACATTTTAAAACCAGCAATAAAATAGTTTAACATAATTTTAGTAAAATAGTAGCCGTCATGTTAATCAAAATGACGTTACTAAATTGATTATTTTAATCAAATTTATCTTTTGAGTGCAAGTTTGAATTTTATAAAATCTAAATTGAAAATCAAGGATGTAGAATAAATTACTTAGGTTCGGGGAAATAAAAAAAAACATTGCAAATAAATTTACCAGATTTGTACAGTAGGAAAAGAATGAAAAAAGCATCTCACGCTGTATAATCAAATCATAATCTAATAATATTTTATTTTCTAGTTGTTAACCTTAACGACAGTAACTGTACCTACTTTCATTTAAAGTATTCTAGGACATAATCAATATCTAAAGTATGTGCAACAATGATTTTTCAAGTTATACTATCAAAGATAATCTAATATACAGGTATTTTACATTTTTCTTGTTCTCATTGTTGTGTATTTAAAGTGTATTATTTACTATTCGTGACAGGTATCTACTGGTATAATAATAGCAAAATTCGTTCAAGTTGGAGATAAGACCGTATGTTTCTTAAATTGTCTGTATATGATAATAAATGGAACGCTAAAGAAATAGCGTGTACTGCTTTTTATGTTCTATTTCTTTTCATATTTTTATTTTAGTATTTGGAATATTAATATAATAATTGTAATTTGTTTACTTTCAGACAACAGATATAACATCCATCTGGGCTTATTGTACATATTAGATATATGTGGGAATTCCTCAAATAAAACCCCTGTTTTGTTTACTTGTTTTGTTTATTTTTTTCCAATGACTTATTATGACTATTTAATTATTAATATTAATTAATAACTATTAATCACGTATCAGAAATTATATAGTAAGCCTCTCAGTACTGATGACTTCTTTATCTCATATTAAACGAAAAACCACTTATCTAACATGAATTTTGCGTCATAAAATCTAATAGAAATGTTTTATCTCATGACCAATGAAGTATATACATATAAAATTTCTACTATGTACTATAGTGCAATAATAAATCACAAAATTCTATTCCAAAAATTGCTGAAATATTTTTTTATTAATATAAAAATATTGCGTCAATGTAAATGAATATATATTTATAATGATAATAATGAGTGAGTAACAGTTTTATCGAATATTTATAATGAAAAACACTAATACAAGTAGGTACCTATATTGTCAAATAATTTGTAATTGATTTTTTATTTATATCAATGAAAACTTTACCTTCTGTTATCATTATAAATATTTTATCATTACGAATTACTCATATTCATATTAATATCTGTTATATTTTTTATACAACAAATGTTTGGATTATAGTTAAATATTTGTAACATAGCTACCTTATTTTTCTAAGCAGTCATATAATAGAAAATAGAGATGAAATCAAATTTCAGTAATATCACTCAGTTCTGAAATAGTTCCATAAACTTTAAGAACGAAAGTGTCCCCACCTAGTGATTATCTTTATTAAATTATATGTATATGTATGTTATTTAAATTAAATCTAAGTTATTTAACAGAACGACATTGTGGTGCCGATATTGCACGAGTCTTATTATGTCAACTTTTGGTTAGGCCACCAAACATACAAGCGAAAGATGAATTCGCGAAAACACAGTTACATACATGTAGGTTAACATTATTCTAGTCCTTGCCCTTTATTATTATTTAGAATTGAAAATAATTTTCATTATTACTCATATTTGAGAAACTTATTATCTTTACGATTATATCAAACGCAGTATTTTTCAAAATATTAAATAACGTATAAGCTTCCTATAAACCATAAGTTTGGAATAGGATTTACGTTTAGCATCTTCTAAAAGTCACTATGTCTATATTTTGTTGTACCTCTTGATTTCAAGTTTGATAAAGCTTTGTACATCTTCAACGTCATCTAATGATGCTTATCTTTCTGTGTCCATTATCAAAATGATTGTCTACGTATTATAAAAAGTATACAGAGTGATTAATATATTTCCGAGAAAGAAAAATAAATGTTTCCTTCTAAAGGTTCTTAATTTGTTTATTAAAACTTAAGGAGACTACAAACTCTATGTTCTGACAAAAACATGTAGCTAAATCCTCAATAACTAAATTTTGTAAAAATTTTTTATACTACATTTTATAGCTTAAATAGGCTATTTTTCCAAAAAAACTCATTTTATGTTTCTTAAATGTTTAAAGAAAATTATTAAAACGACTCGCAGAGTTAATTTTCATCGTTAGAATGATTTTATTTCCACGAAAATTATTGAATTCTGTATAGCATCTATGCATTCATTTTTCATAGCCAGTTGACTTATTTGTACCGGACTTCCGTTTGATAAAGATTACTATTTATTTATCCCTTAGTAATTTAGTTCTTATTAATTATTATGTTGATATGTTAATTTTAATTACTTTCAAGACTCGCTGCTTCAAAAATACAAAAAATATCCGTATTCCTGAGTAAGAACTATTCATTCCAGCCAAATTTCAATTTCTTAGTTAAATATCACTCATGGTAAAGTAAAAATACAAAATAAAACAAATGGTGAATTTTGGAACTATTTATATATTTTATGGACAATGAAATTTGTAATGTTTAAAGTAAATATTATCTCAAATAATAAATAAACACAATCTAGTTCTACAATGGTACACAGGACATTAAACAATTTGCTATTTATGTACAATTTTAGTTGTTAGTTGTTAGTTATTATTATTAACTAGTTCCTTGGAAATAAATACATATTTTACTTAAGCATATCCTCCAAAAATATCTGCCAGTCTAAGCTCCATTTCTCTAAAGCAGTATCCTTCTCATCATCGTTCATGGCACTGTACCTAATAGAATCCATGGCAAACTTCTTCAGTACCTCGATCCCAACGTCCACTGGTGTCATAGCTAAGAAAGCAACGTACCAATCGTAACTGAGTCCACTGGCACCCCATGCAGAAGGATCGTCGTTGGAAATAACCACGGGAAAGTCCTTGGCTAACAAGGAAATAGCTGGGTGGGTCCTAGGATCCTCATTCAACATCAAAACTTGGTTAGAAATCGGGCACAGCTCAATGGCTATATCTTTAGCTTTTACCAAATGCATTAAAATGGGATGCCTTGACAAAGCAAACGCGTGGCCTATTCTAGACGAATTTAGAAGAACTGCGTCTATTAAATTAAGGTCCGTGCTTCCATACCAATTAGTTTCACCGGCGTGGAAGAAAAATTTTAATTCTTCGCTAGCTTCTAACAGCACTTTGTGGAATTCTACTATTGGTCTTCCTTCTTCTTCGTAGCCCACGAAGTCGAACCCTGCAATGAACTGGGGATAAAGTTTTTTCAGTGTTATAAGCTCATCTAGGCCACTTTTGAGGACTTCCGGTGTGACGCCCCTGTATATCGAATGAATGTACCTTGCGCCTAAGAATCTCGGATGATCCTGTTTGAACTCCTCCACAGTCTCTATGAACACGTTAAAGAACTCCTTCGTGTCATACACCGTCCCATTTAGGTCGTATAAAGGCATGAAAGTGCCTCTTAGTTCAGTGTACATGACGTTGTCTTCATACAACTCCTTTAGAAGCTGATAGATGTATTCCTTGAACACGGGTTTGTAGCACACCATATCGTACGCGGTGGAAAATATTTTCTTGAAACGTTGCCAAATAACGTCAATGCTCGGATAAACATCTAGAGGATTATCAACTTCCAAAGACATCTGTTTCTTCAGCCATTGGTCGAAATTGGGATCTTCCTCTCTGTATTTCTTCAGTTCCTTCCAATCGCACGTTTTGTCGTCATCGGCATTTCCCAGGAATCGCAGTTTAAAAATACCATTAATGAAGCACCCGTAAATATTTTCTTTGTAAGTGATATTCTCGATCATGAAGTCTGCAGAGACCGCTGCTGTTAGATGCGTATGCAGCGAAGCACCTTTCGGAAGTTTCTTAATTATAGAAAACACGTTTGACTTTTCTATGTCGGGTCTAGCTTGAAAAAAGTGACGGGATGGTAAGAAATTAGATACGTTTTGGTGAGCCTCCGTCAATTCCGCTTTTTTCTCTTTTAATATCAACTCGTTAACCACCAGTTCCTTATCGGACAAATTCAGTTTGCCGCCGGCAAATAAGGTATTATCGCTGTTTAATATGTTTATTCTCTGCGTTAAATAGTCGTCACTTTCACTTAAATTAACCACACTGAACATGATAGCAGCGGCAAGCAGCGCACTGAACAGCAGACGAAGGAATGGTAACATGATGCGTAAGGGGAAAATCCCGACTAGTTATTCACTCGGTTCCCTCCAACGCTTTTTAAGCAAAGTTCGGTTAATCCCCCGACAAATATGTTAATGTCTCAAGAATTAAACATCACTTTTCAGTTGGTCCAGGAAAATTATGATGATGCTCTCTCTACGTGAGGAAGCTTAGTAGGGTTTTTATTATCTGATTTCCAGCAAAAGTAGTAATTCGTGATAAAATTCCGATAACATTTGCACCATATTTCATTATTTATTTCCACTTCGTTCCACCTCCGAATTTTGATACATATTTTTACCTACATAGGTACCTAAATAATAATCTTTTTTAAACATGTACCAATTTAGATACTTGTATCTTTTTGACTAACTGCGTTCTATTTGATATTTTTACAGTCAGTGATACTCAAGATTAGGCTAAAAGTACAGCTAAGAGCGTTTTGTTTGATATTTTCGCTCATTGTAGTTATTTAAACAAAGGCAATTCGAAAAAAAATATGATTTGCTAACGAATTAATTATTTTTAGTTAGATTCCTTCACATTTTTAAATATACATACTTCCAAATCTAGAAAGGTACCAAAAAAATTATATTCCTAGACATAGTTAAAAATTCTTTGACTGGTTTTGCTCGAGCATATTTCTGTTTTTAATTCCTATCCAACCGTGTGAATTTATTCGGGATTCCCAGAAACTATTCGCACGGTATGTGGGAATCCCCTAAACCTTTCTGAATAAGATCTTACAATATCCTTGAATACAAGTTTCTCTGTTTAGATTTCTGTATTGTTGTAAATAACAAAATGTGTCGAAATCGTTTTATCTGTGTACGACATTTCTTGAATCAAAATTCAATAATAGTGGAAAAGTGGTAAGTGATATCTTTAGTACATAACAGACATACGAATGGCATAAAATCACAAGTTAAAAATTCTAAAATGTAGCGTAAACTGTAACCCTTTTGTTCTTACTATATGTATGGTTATTTACAAAACAAACAGGAGAAACATGTGTTTGGGTTAGAATTTTTAGATCATAGTTCATTGATCCTGCATATACAGAATGTCCCCAATGACAAAATCGTGCTAATTGTTAATACGTTCGCACCTATACCTATGTATTTACACATTATTTTTGCAATTTTTCTATATTCATTTCTATTATCGTGTCTAATTTATGACCTAATTCTAAAATATGACTGTTAAAATAATTTGTAGAAAAAATTACGTTGTAGTATTCTCTCAAAGAAACGATTTGGTATTATTAAATTTATTTAAAATTAATGTTATAATGCTGCATAAAAAGATGTTATACATTGAGGCTCAATGGTCTAGGGGTATGATTCTCGCTTTGGGTGCGAGAGGTCCCGGGTTCAAATCCCGGTTGAGCCCACTTTTTCTATTTTTTTTTAATATTTTGTATTATAAAATAATTTTAAATTAGACATTCATTTGAAATAATCTAGATACTTTACGATGTTTTTTTAATATATCACTTGTAACGACAAAACACAGTGTGTGGATACTATACCATTGTGGGTTGCATACAACATATACAGCGATGCTCACATATCAATGACATATTTCTATATAACTTCCAAAAGCAAGGCTATTTTTATGGTTATTAGATGAAGAAGTAATTTTATTTACAGTTTTTGGTTTTAAGTATTTTTGTTTATTATTCCAAATTTTGTTAATCATTCTTTGGTTATTCATTATTAATAAAAAGCCCATTAAAAACATTTATAGGTATACTTATTGCTATTTACATTGTTATAGTAACCGTAAATAGATAAAAAAAACCTCAAAGCATATAGTTTATGGTGAAAGCTGAGCAAAAACACTCTAGACCATGGATTCCCCGAAATTCTGAATTGAACATTGGGGAAGTACAGAAGACATGTTAACGAGCGCTTTATTTTCTTATGTTTTAGACAAGAAACAACAATTTTTCCTGAAAATCATAAGGATATCTATTTATAAATTCGTGTTTAAAATTAAACTTCACTAATCTACGAAATCTTTACACGAAAAGTTTCAAAAGTTAACATGATGCTGAAAAATCGGGTATAATCATTTTAAAACTACTTTACTTTTATATGAAAAAATAGTTTGTATTGCCCGAGTAGAAGTTATATTTATGTATATTCTAAATTATCCTGAATTAATCCAAAAGTAATACCATGCAATTCTTGTTTTTAATGTAGGTAGTTTTCATTGATTTTGCTTTTGTATTTACAGATTTTTATCCTTAAGGCTTGTTTAAAATCTTAAAATCAATTTAAATAAAATGTACTTTCTTCCTTCATTTTGATAGTGAATCTTGTAATCAAAAGCTTTAAACTTCACTGCCTGTTGATAAGGATGAAAACAATAAAGGACTTCTACCTGTACAAATGTCGTAGCACTACATTTTCCAATAGAATAATACATACTTCATGTTTAACGCTGACAATGTACATGCTGCCAAATGATTTCTACTATCGAGTACAGGAATCTGCTGGCAATGCAAAGAAGGCCTTTATAAGAATTAATATTTGCCCCATAGCATACAAAACTTTAAGCTAATTTGTGGAAAATAGGTGCTTGATAATCTTACTTTCTTTTCGATACAAGTACATATATTTATTGTAGCGCAAATGTATTTAATGAACATAACCATTAAGCTTTTCAAATGTGAGACTCTTACGTCTTCACTTTACTTCTTTATTTGTCAATTTTGGAATACTAGTGCCTGGTTCCGAAAATACTCTTCTGTAAGTAGTGCTCTTTGTAACTTTGTATATTCGTACGTATTGATCTATTTTTCCTGCTTTCAGCCAATCCTTCCACTGAACTGAAGCACGAGAAGCTCGTGAAGGCTCAGAGATGTCGCTAGGTGGTTTCTCTTGCTTCAGCTGAACGCGAAGAATAACGAGTAGCAAAACAATTTTACAGTTATTTACTACTTATTTAAATTTGTAACAAATAGTTTTCCACAAGTTGTTAATCCCCATATAAGGGCAAGCTTACAAAAAATGAAATGTGCATGGTGGTTTCGTTAATTTAACAGCTTCTAAATATTTTAAATTTTAAGAACTATGTGGCATTATTTCGTCGACTTGTGATTGTACTTATGCTAATGATTGTTATCTTGTATGTCTATAGAAAACCCAAAAACCATAATTGGTGCGTGTGCAGGATTTGTTGGAATACCAATTTCGCTTATCGAAGTTTTATTAAATTAATAAGTGCTGACAATTGTCTATATTTTGCAAAATTACGTAAAAATAAATAATATTTCGTATGTATTTAGCTCTTAGTCAATGTAAATTAAACGATATTATAGGCTGCAATACAAAGCACGCGTCTGCGCTGATTGTGTCCCATTTTGTAATGGGAATTGGTCCAGAGTCGGTGAAGCTGAGAGAGCGCTTCCGCCATGGATATCACTGTTACTAAATTAATAGTTTTATTCGCCCTTATCGTAGGAATATCAGCTAATGGAGAAAAAATACCGCTGGGTAAGTTCTGTGTCATGGAATGGCCCTAACTGCATTTATTAGAACTGTGTAGAAATTAAATCAAATGCTAGGTTATAAATTTCAGGTAAATCGAAAGGTAGGCATTTTTCTTAGTGATAGATAGAAGCTACTAGTAAACACTTTTCAATTCCCTTGGAAAGTCAAAACATACAAGTATATGCATATAAGAATAAATGTAGTAATATTAAACAAATTAAATTACTTTAGTGAAGTAGTTATTAATTAAGATTAGAAGAATTATTAATACAAAGTATAAAAAATGAAAGGACGGTTGAAATTTAGATATTTCTATATAAAATAAAATAGTCAACAGATACATAAAACAATGTATATTTAATTATTGTTAGTTACAGCTAAAAGAAAGAATGACTTTTTTAATTCAATATTTTTCAAATACTTGATAGTTTCATCTTTCCTTTATTAACTACCCTGCTATTAAACACAATCATACTCAATACCGTTGGTTGACAGATTTGTACATCAACTCAATGGATTTTTGTTCTTAATTACTGCAGACATCTTATCCTAGAGATATTTAAATGTGACATATATTTTTCTTGAAATTTTCGAAAACGAAAAGTTTTTTAACTTTAAAATATCCTATCATCAGGAAGAGTTTGACTTTAAATTTCAGAACACCCTGTAGTAATGTTCAGATGTCTATTAATTACATATTAAAAAGGGCTTGAAAGAATATTCTTTAAAAATGCAGAAATATTCAGCTCTACTGTCGTGGATAATCGCGTATCGATCTTTATTCGAAGTGTTATACCAAACTGTACCTACACATGCAAGAATAGAAGAATACATCTTTTTCATTTTAGATTACTGGTATGTTTATGAAATTAGTGACACCTAAAGGGAAATTGCCATAATTAGGAATTTTAATTAGATTAACTATTTTAAAGCGAAGTAATTTTTTAAGTTTGTATGGTGAGATTTTAGTAAACCTTACTGTATTTGTTTCATGACACCACGATCCACTAAATTAAATACTAATTCAGTGTAATTTGGAAGACTAAATAAATTATTAACAATTTTTTTCTTTCATATGTTATCAGGTGCAATTTTCGAACAAGGAACAGACGATGTCCAAACAGCATTCAAATTCGCGATGCTGCAACACAACCAAAATGTCACCGGAAGAAAATTTGAATTCCAGGCCTACGTGGATGTCATTAACACAGCGGATGCCTTCAAATTGTCTAGGCTGAGTAGGTATTTCTTCAATTTTATTTAATAAATTAGATTTGGTGATAGAAACAACAGATAATATAGCTTGGCGATAGCTATTTTGTCTGTGTAGAAATTATGGAAAAGTTATGTTATATCGAATGTGTAATATAAACAAAAGTTATTAATGGTTCCAAAATAAATAACCTACTACTACTAGTATTCAATAAGAAACACTTTTAGTTTACATATGTCTTTAAAAACATACATGTGTTCAATGGTTGACTATATAAAAATATTATTATTATTGTACCAATGTTTGTAAAATTAAACAACTACACATAGATTTTATGACGCCGTGATATGTAAATACAGGCAGAATAGATGTTTTAATTATGGTAAAAGAATGTATAATGTTTCCGTGCAGAACGCAAAAGATATGTAAGAACTAATTCATAATTAGCTTTATTAAAAACTCAACTTCCACACACGCATCCACTCATGTAGCTGAAAATGAAAATTAGTTTTAACATGAAGGCGAGATGCATTTGGAAATATTTTTGAAATGTAAAATTTCTGGATAATAAAATTAACATTTTAAAAACAGGAAAATATATAGATATGTACCTAAAGCTTCTACATTGTTAAATATTTACGATTTTGTTTTTATACACTTTTAATATTATCAATTTTTAACTATGAGAAGGAAAGCTAATACCTAATTAACGACAAGTATAATTTTTTTAGTTTGCAATCAGTTCTCCAGAGGAGTGTATTCCATGTTGGGAGCCGTCTCTCCGGATTCATTCGACACATTTCACTCCTACAGCAACACCTTCCAGATGCCCTTCGTCACCCCCTGGTTTCCCGAAAAGGTGTTAGCTCCATCTTCAGGTTTCCTGGATTACGCTATTTCCATGAGACCTGAGTACCATCAGGCTATCATAGACACTGTCAAGTACTACGGATGGAAAAGAATAATATATCTGTATGATTCGAACGATGGTAAGTAGATACTTAAGTAATAATATTACGGTTTTATTTATCAAATTCAGTCCATAATTTAAAATATAGAATCTAGTAAGCCAGCCACACTACCAAATTTGAAGTTGATATATACTTGAGTCAAAAATTGTTTACTTCCAATTTTTGAAGGCCCTGATTTTGCGGAAAAAGTTTGTTTTGTCGAAATATTAAGTAATCCAAGTTTCAATCCAATTTAATTCAATTAAAAAAACAATAGAGACTTGGACAGAAAATTTTAAACACTTAAATTTTAGGCTTGCTTCGGCTGCAACAAATCTACCAGTCGCTCAGTCCAGCAAGTGAGACTTTTCAAGTAACAACAGTTAGAAGAATTAGCAACGCAAGCGAAGCCCTGAACTTTCTTAAAGGATTGGAGGCACAGTCGCGATGGCAGAACAAATATGTGGTACTAGACTGTACCGCAGATATGGCGAAGGAGATTGTGGTTGGACATGTGAGGGATATAGGTCTTGGTCGAAGGACCTACCACTACCTACTTTCTGGACTGGTGAGTTTGTCTGATGAAAGACTTACTTTGTTATTTTGCTAAAACATTTTGGTTAAGACTGTTGGGTCTTGATGAATCCATTCGTCTTAACATGGCCAAACCAGCTATATTTCAGTTCCTTAAGTAAAAATAACGCATGAGCAACATTTGTTTTCCTAGGTTATTTTAGAATGTAATTTTACATTTATAGAAAAGTCGCGTTCTTATTCGAACGTTAACATTGTGACATTCATAATAATGTAGCTGCATTGCTTGGAATTAGGTCAGGTCAGTCGATCGAATAGTTTTGAACTTGGAAAATATAGCGCTGTTTCAAGTAGTGCAACTTTACCTTTGCATTAAACACTCGTTTCATTTTACGTGAATCGTGAATTATATTCCCCTGTATTTCGCAATGATATTACTTTCTTTCATTACAAAATATATCCTAATTCCAATTTATGATTTCTCTTTTTTTGTAGACACTGTCGTGTTTGTTTTATGGAAGATATTGACTTATACAACGAAAATTATCATCTCATGACCTATGGACCATAAGCATAAAGCAGTAGACAAGTTTACAATTTGAATTATTTAATGCTCTTAAAATTTATTTATTTTTTTCAATGAAATAACATTAATAAATTATTATTTTTAATTAATCTTGTGTTATTCTGTGCATTTTATCGATAGTATCTAAAAATACAATCTCCATAAAGATGCAAAAAATATCGTCAAATCTACTTAATATTTTCTTAATGGTAGTGCTTTCTGGTTATATTTGTACATTGCGTGTTATACGCAAATAAAGGATTAACGACTACGGTAATGTTACGAGAGTAATGAAAACTTTTCTGCAGAATACTTCACGTCATTTCAGAAACTAGGGAATTAAGTAATTCAACAAATGCCATTAGGACTTGGTTCCAATTGTAAGTTATTGCTTCCTGTCAAGGTACTAAGGGACAGCTTGATACCAATGCGGATATTAAATATTCCATGTATGTAGCAGATTGTTAGGAGGAAAAGAAATATTAAAATTCATCTGCAGCTGGGGAATTGGAGGAATTTGATTCATGTTTTAGATAAAAGACAGCTATTTTTTATAAGGAAGGTAGCTATATCAATTTTTTTTCAGGTTATGGATGACCGATGGGAAAGTGAAGTAGCAGAGTATGGTGCTATGAATATTACTGGCTTCCGGATAGTGGATAATACCAAAAAGCACGTCAGACATTTTCTGGAAGGTAAAATTGGTACAATACCATAAATGTATCATTGATAAATGATTTTAGGGTGGAGAAATCTTGATCCTCTGACATCACTAGGAGCCGGTAAAGATAGCATTTCGGCACAAGCTGCTTTAATGTACGACGCAGTATTTGTCCTGGTCGAAGCCTTCAATAAATTGTTAAGGAAGAAACCGGACGTATTTAGAAATAGTTTTAGGAGAGCTCCATACAATAGTACGACCAAAGCTTTGGATTGCAATGTGAGCGGAGGATGGGTGACGCCTTGGGAACATGGAGATAAAATATCGAGGTTTTTGAGGAAGGTATTGAATTTTGTATATGTGTATTTCTTCAGTGATTTTTAACCATTTGTTGTCGCTTTCTAGGTAGAACTGGAAGGACTCTCCGGTGAAGTCCGTTTCAGCGAGGAAGGACGTAGGCAGAATTATACCCTTCACGTCGTTGAGATGACCGTGAACAGTGCCATGGTGAAGGTGGCGGAATGGAGTGATGAGTCAGGATTTACGCCTGTATCCGCGAAATACACCAGGCCAAAGTCCACCCTTCACATAGAAAGGAATAAAACTTACATCGTTACTACGATTGTGGTTAGTTCGCCGTTCTGTTTTGTTTTCTGTTTATAATTGTGATATTATTAACCAACTTTTTTGTTTCTGTTTCTTGCAAGTATTGTTAGAACTTGTTATTTTAAAAATTGGTTGGTTGTTAGATGTTCTATTTCAGGTTACTACCTCAGGGTTTTTAAATGTGTCATGTTGTGGTAATTTTCCGTGTTGCGTTCGTATACTTTTGCTTCTGTACAAATTTTCGAATAATTACAGATTGCGCAAACATTTTTTTCTAATTTACATTTTACATGCAAACCGTTATATCGTATTTTAAATAAAAGCACAAATCGTACTCCTTTTATTTGTTGATATATCTAAATTTATTTAAATAGGTTGGAATATGTGAGGCTTTTCGTAATATATTTCATTCAATATTTCCGCTTTGCATGTTCGCCTTCTTTATGTAAATCCGGCACAACACGGCTTAAGATTAAAAAGTGACAATAACTAACTGTTTCTAGTTTTATAATTAAGTACTTGGAAATATTGACATGACATTACAACCCCGTATTTATGGTAATAATAAAACAAGTTACGAAATATTTATTAGTATTGGTTGGCTCAATATGTCACGTTGACTATTATGTTGCTCCAGGTAATTTAGGAAACGGAAATCGTTAATACTTTCAACAAACAAAAAGAAACAAAATCTATAAAATGACAGAGCTGCGTGAATACTTTTTATTTTGAATATGTATCGATTTATTAGCTATTTAGTTTATTCGCAATCATGTAGGTATACAAAAATAATACGTAAAATATTTTTAATCGAATGCTAACAAATAAACAAACATCAAAAAATGTGTGTTTATTTAAAAGGAATTTCAATATTAAATGAGTTCATGAAATTTCTAAGTGCCAATTCTTTAATTTATTTGTTTTAAATATGTACAATGTGTGTTGTTCTTATTTTTCTTCTATTTTCCCATTCAATAACATTTCTGATCATTATCAAAGTTAATAGATACATTTCATACATGCAAACTAATGTTAACTGATGTTAATGTCACCGGTTATGAGTAAAATCCCTATTTTAGGAATTCAGATTATTTATCTGTATCACGAACATCTCCAACAAAGCCAACAGTATTTTATTGTGTTTCAATGGCTATATTAAGCTCAAAATGTGTACTTAGAGCTTTTGACGAATAGTTTTATTTTGATTTTCATTTATGATATTTTTTCTTTTCATCTTTTCTCAGAAGAAATAGTTTTTATAATTTCAGAAAAAATAATCCAAAATTTTGCTGAAAACTGACCACGGAAGTTTTCACAATTTTTATTATTATTAACTTTCATTGATTATTATTAATGCTTATTGAAAAATCCTCTGCAAGATTGTAAGTACCCTGTATGACAAGGAGGGCGTCTAGAAGAAAAAATATTTCAACTAAATGCCTGGTAACTATGCATGCAACATATTTTATGATTGCCGAGAAATATGGTAATCTTTGTTATCAAAATATACTGCCTGGAAAATAACGTCACTCTAGTTAATTATTCGCATAATTTCCTGAAAACACAATTTCATGGAAAGAACTTCATTAAATGGTGCGTATTGAGAAATATAGAACCAGGTATCAATGGGACTTATCATTAAAAATAAAACTATACTAAATTTAAAAATATTTTACAAATGCGTTTCCTTTATTAAATTGTGTGTTTCGTTTCTAATAATTTTCATGAAATTTCAAGTTTCTGACCCCAATAAAGCATCATTTCACTTTTATTATTCAGTGAATCAAATTATTGATGATAATTAAATCACATTCTATCGACAATTTCTCAGTGATTACTAAAATCTTTGAAATAATCATTTTCAGGAAGAGCCTTACATCATGCTAAGAATTCCAGAACCTGGGGAGATTCTTTTGGGGAACGACCGCTTTGAGGGTTACTGCAAAGATTTAGCGAACCTGATATCTAAGAAACTTCTAATAAACTGTAAGTAATTCAAAAACTCAATATTTAAAAAATATTGTAGTAATTTTTACTTATGTGGTTGAATTCTTCCTAGATTTCATTTGGATTTTATTCGGTATTGAAATTTTGTACAACGTTGCATAAAAATAAGTCTTACAATAATTGGAAACCCCCTAAAACTATTTTAATTGACTCTAAATCAACCTGAGATGAAATTTTTGTAACGCACCTACAATTTTATGAAGATCAATTAAAAAATAATAATAATTTGCAATTATGAAACATATGACTCTATATTCAGAAAATAAATTAATGTATTTTTTTAATCATATTTGTTCTAGACGAACTGAGAATTGTCAAAGATGGTCAGTATGGAGCTGAAAATCATGATGTTAGTGGAGGATGGGATGGTATGGTTGGAGAACTAATACGTCAGGTAATTCACTATCATTACATTTCTCAATTTAATTGAGTTGAGTTGCACTTATCGACTTTATAAAACTTTACTAGTGCAAGCATCATTCTCAATTCTTTTTACATATCTGAGGCTACAGAATATTAGTTTTATAATTTTAGAAACGTTTTAGATCAGTCTTACATCACTTGCGACGAATATACGTACATTACTTAATATGAAAAAAATGTGAAAGCAGTAGTATGTGGTAATAAATATTTATTTGAAGATCTACGTACGAAATCGTCTTGAAATTTCAAATTCAGACGTTCTAACCGACCATAGATAGTCCAACTCGAATCAATAGTCTAGTTATTTTAATATGCGCTATTGTATTTCTATACTCTTGATTGCTAAAAGCTAAAATTAGACACAGTTACGTACTTCTACTGTTATTGACTTATACTTGAGAAGGATCCTAACACTGTCCCCATCATGACGTTAAACTCATATTAGTCCTGTGTCTTTTTTATATCCCTAGTCTATTCAACTGAGAGAATTGCATACATAGGGAATTTGTGCCTTTGATGTTTGTCTAATAACAAAGTCTGTAATTTTTCATGACGTTAAACTTGCGTCAATGCAAAAAGCGGCAGTATTACTGCGGTTTCCATGGTGCTCTTATCACTGTGGTTTATTGTTTCCGTCAGACTTGAAATGTTCAAAATGGCCTATGTTTATAGCAATACAGAATTAACAGATAGTTGTTTTAATTTATGTCAATGCAAGACACCGTTGTTTTTTTTTGCCTTTTCTAGGAAGCTGACATGGCCATAGCCCCGATTACGATAACATCGGAAAGAGAGCGGGTGATAGACTTCAGCAAACCATTCATGTCACTGGGCATCTCCATTATGATCAAGAAGCCGATGAAGCAGAAGCCGGGTGTCTTCAGCTTCTTAAACCCCTTGTCCAAGGAGATATGGGTGAGCGTCCTATTCGCCTATGTCGGCGTGAGCATCGTTTTATTTGTCGTCTCAAGATTCTCACCGTACGAGTGGAGACTGCTCCATTTCACAGGAGAGCACAGGTAATTGTAGTTACCTCAGTACATGTTCTTATAAACTGTTACTATTGGTTTCAGTGATCCGCCCAGTCAAAACACGAACCAAGGTGGAACCATGGCGAACGACTTCACCATGTTAAACTCCTTGTGGTTTTCTTTGGGGGCGTTTATGCAGCAAGGGTGCGACATCTCACCCAGATCCATATCTGGTAGGATAGTAGGGGCGTGTTGGTGGTTTTTTACTCTCATACTCATATCCAGTTATACTGCCAATTTGGCGGCTTTTCTTACTGTGGAACGAATGGTCGCACCTATCAATTCCGCTGAAGACTTGGCGTCGCAAACGGAAGTGGAGTATGGGACACTGTATCATGGAGCAACATGGGATTTTTTTAGAGTAAGATATAACAGCGATGTGTCAGTAAGCTTCCAGATATGGAAACTAGCTCTACTGCTACTCTACTTTTTTCTACTTTTGACAGTTGAAATCACTAATCGACTTTTAAACTATAATTCAAGTCTATGTCTTCAATGATTCTGATCAACAGTTGCTCTTGTTTTTCTTTTGTAAGAAATATTAGTTATGTTGAAGAATCTTCCTCTTTATTTATAATTGTCAGGACAAAACCTGAGTATGCTTGCAACACTTAGAACTCACTCACTATTCCATCTTTCACTGTATTCAATCTGCTCCCATAGCAATTGTAATGCAATATTGATGAACTTATTTTATGTCTAAATCATCACTTCATCAAGTCACTTTTCAATTTGTCTAAAACTACCTTTGTAATACTAAATTTAGTCTATCAGGAATTTCAAGTTTAGATAAAATTCTGTTTGTATTTTTTGTGTCTTTTGTGTCCTTAGATAATTAAGATTATGATAAAATAAGTGCTAACATATGTCAGCGTAACAAACTTCACGATCTTCTTTCACGAGTAGCATTTCGTGATAAAGAAATAATGAAACCTTAATCATTTTAATGAAGTTACTCTTTTAAATAAGAAATTCAAAGTTATAATAAGAAAGTTATGTGACACATCAATTATTTGCGAACAAATGAGCTTTAAGATTATGATTTCGTTGGGCTGCTATTAATTTCATTACAATTTTGGATTAAAATTAATACCACTCTCATATTCCCATCCTCATAATTCGGTAAGGAGGCAGCAATCCGAGCGAAGCTGGTCCATTTACATAACACTGCCACCGACAAAAGCTCTGTAACAATCTCCCTACATTAGCAGATTAAAAGGTTTTACATATTTTAGAGCTCGAGTTACATTGAATACCATCTGACACTGAGTCCGTTTCCATTCTAGAGGTCGCAGATCTCGCTGTATTCGAGAATGTGGGAATTCATGAATTCCAGGAAACACGTGTTCGTCAGTTCATACGACGAGGGAATCAAGAGGGTCCGGACGTCGAAGGGCAAGTACGCGCTGCTCATAGAATCGCCTAAAAATGATTACATCAACGAGAGGGAGCCCTGCGACACCATGAAGGTCGGCACGAATCTGGATGCGAAGGGGTTTGGGATCGCTACTCCTCTGGGATCGCCCCTTAGGTGAATGTTGGCAGTTGCTGTTTTAAATAGTTACTATTTCCAATTTTTAACAGACTATAGGCACAACATGTAAATATTATAGTGAGTATGCTCTAGAAAGGAGAAATATGTGATGACATCACCATTACAAAAAGAATTAAACAGAATAGTGACAATGCCTTAGCATTTTTTAGTTGACAGTACCAGCACTGCGATGTTGGTTGCCTAAGCTCAGGGGTTACGAGGCTTGTAATCAATTATGAAGGCTTCGTCTGCCATTGGTTTTATAAGCTACGCCTCGGTCAAAGTTATTACATGTCCTGTACTTAATGTTTAACGGACCATATTCAAGGAAGCAGTAGGTTTTTGCTACCATGGTGTCATTTGCAAAACCTGTTACTAATCAAAACATAATAGTTGATGTCACAAATGTCATTTAACATATAACTCTTTATTCTTGTTTACCTTTATATTCTTTCTTGGAACCAGTAACTGTTTTTTATAAGACCTGCCCAAAATCATTATTACATTATTTCTATTTCGACCCAAATAATTGGCATCATCCATATTAAACGAATAACGATTTGCATGCTTCTAATTAGAGCATGGCATGGGAACCATGACCTACAAACTATTGTAAAGCGTAATTGCGATTCTATAATGAGATACATACCTTGAACCAAACGATGATAATTAAATATTATATTACATGAACACTGTTAAATTTCTACCTCACAAAATGCAATGCAACACAAATCAATAAATGCATTAACGTAATTCGTAATAAACCATATTTGATGTGAGTAAGAAATATTGGACAATAGTTATATGAATTTACGTGTAACCTAACATAATATAGTTAGAACAACTATGGAAATGCCTTCAGATTCCATTAATTCGAAATAACGACTATTTCTTGTACGAGCTGTAGTTGGGATATCTTAAAAAACGGGAATTCAGGAAAGACAGTAAAAGAAATTCGATTGCGAAAATCGCCAACTGATCAGTTCTTATAGCACCGTTGGAAAATTCTGAGAGGCTTGAATCTTATAAGAATTTTGCAAATGCAATTCTATCAGTGATGTCTACTTTGTGTCGTACATAAATAAAGAATGAAGCAACTGAAGAAGGGGCAAACTAATTTTTGCTGGAATACCTACAGTACAACTCACGTAATAAAAGTGTAATCCCTAGACCTGGGCGAGGTCCGGAACATTTTCAAAATTGCAAAAATGTTTAAAAAATTTAAAAAAATACTTATTTTATCTGAGTTTTTTACTTATATCTTGGAACCTATGCATTTTGGAGAGGGAAAAAAGTTGTAGAATTGAATTTTGCACAATATACTGTAAGTTAAAAATGTTTAAATTTATTACCGCTGTTGCAAAATAGCAATAATTGATGAAAAAAAGGCAAAATAACCAAGTTTTTTGGATAACTTTTTTAAAACTTTTGTAAAATAAGAGTATATTAAAAAAACACACCTTTCATTAAAATCGGTTCTATAGTTTTTGCAAAATAAATTTTTGAAAAAAATTTTCGAGTTTTCAAAATGTTGCACAGCCTCAAATAAAGCATCTAGATTCTTGAAGATTTTTTCACATGGAAAAGACCGCTCAACCTTTTCAGTTTTTTTCAAAAATTATAATTTTAAAGTACCTACTCGGAAAGACGTTTCTTTTAAAAAAAATTAAATTCCGTTTATTAATTCTGGAGATATAAACGGTCGTTTAAGGAAATGTAACATACTTTTAATAAAACATCGCCCCCCACCCACTGCTGTAACAGTTATGGTAATTCACGCTATAAATTATTAACCTCCGACTCCTTTATTTTCAGCAAAAACAGCATTATGCGTATATTATTTAAATTTTATTACTGTTGTTTCGCTACACCTTTTTAACTGTGCTATTTCACCAGACCCAAACAAACTTTTCCAGGGACGCCATAAATTTGGCGGTGCTGAGCTTGAAGGAAGACGGGGAACTAACCAAATTAAAGAATAAGTGGTGGTACGACAGGACGGAGTGTCTACGCGACAAACAGGTATTAAAAGGGATGTTACACCCTTTTGCAGTAACGTACGCTACAGGTAATCGAGGAACAGAATCAAATGTTTTTTTACAAAAACAATAGTAAGTAACATATTGCATCTGTTCTGTAAATCGATCTGGTTATTACAGTTAACTATAATGTTTCAATTCAGAACATGAGTAAAATTATTAATTCTCTCTCCAAATTACATAAAAAATAACTGTTTGATTGATTCATCAGACAGCTTCCCTTTTCCTATACAATTATAAACATCAACAGAAAAAAATATATATACTCATTTTTTATACACTAAGCGCAGAAATTAAGGGATATTTAAAAAATCCCAACATTTTGGGTGATTTTCAAAGAGCTGTAATTTGGAGCGAAATGGTCGTAGAGAGAATAAAAAAAAGGAAATTGAAGCTTCAAGTGCCTAGTTTTCAGATCTGCAGTTTAAAATTTTTTAGCATTAGCAGTTTTTGAGAAGCTCTTTTAGATAATTTAATTCTTTTCAATTTGAGCGGTTCCGGAGCCTTGTCAAAAATGATTTTTTTGCTTTGATCCACAATAACTCAGCTACAAATAATCGTACAACGCTCCGCAATCGCACAAATTGGAGAGAATAACATCATCTAAAAGAGCTTTATGATGAAAATGCCAAAAAAATGTTTGAAATCCATAGGGCTTTTTAAAAAAGCATACATTTACAACTTTTTTCCGTTGATTTTCTCATGATTACTCAAATACTGCTGACGCTAAAAAATTTTAAACTGCAGACCTTAAAACTAGACACTTGAAACTTGAATTTCCTCTTTTTGATTCTCTCTACGACCTTTTCCCTCTTTGAAAATCGCCCAAAATTTTGGGATTTAATTAATTTCTGTGTCTAGTGTATTTAAAACAGGTTACTAATGGAAATACTGCATTATTTTCAACCAAGCAAAATTACTTTCCAGAACCTTGTACATAACTTCTTTATTAGAAATAGTTGCAAAATGTAATTAATCAAAAGCAGGCACGTATTTCGTTAACTAAATTATACTAAATTATAACGTGATATTCACACATCCCTGGAATAATTTGTCATTTGACGCTTATATTAACGGTTAAATTAGATGTTCTTCTAGCGGGGGATCGATTCTACTTAATGTACTAATTGGTATCCGGCCAACATTATTTAGGTCTAAAATTGGTTACCGCATTCCAAATTTCAAGCCTGAGATTTTCTTATTATGCAGTGGAACAAGAAAAATGTGCGAATAAAAGATATTTTGTTTAGTGTTTATAAAGCATGTACAAATAACAAATTTTTCACTACATATATAATTTATCACACATCTAAGACAATTCGGGTTTATTAGGTTATTTTCACGTTTAAAATTCAGCATTTCAATGGAAAACGCAAACCAATAAATTATTATAATTAATTATCGCTCATAAAAATTTTATTTATGTACAACATATTACTGAAAATGCATAATAAATTGAATATTTCATAATTATGAGGGTATATATGTAATTGTAAAAACAGACCTGTAAAATATAAAACACATGTTCCAATTTAAACTGTTAGCTAATGATATGTTCAACAAAAATGGTTCTGTCTTGGTATAAATAATATTTAATGCATTATTAATGTAAATTCAATATCAAATTTCCTTTTTACTATACCCTTTAAACAGAAAAAGAGTCATAATACAGCAGATGGGTATCCCAGAATTAACCTATTTCAACTGAATTTATATATTTAATGTAAAAATTAAAAATAAAAACTATAAAGACATATTTTTTCCAATTAGTGTCCATATTAACTGTAAAAATATGAGAAATATTTTCATTTACCCACTACGGAGGAGTTATTTTTATTTAAGTAGTTCAAATTACAACAACGTTGGGAAACAAATATTTCGTGTATTTTTTTTACAAAACTTTCTTTTGCTTATTCGTATCGACATTATCCCTTCTCGTTCAGCCCTGCTGGAATAATAAACGCGTCGATATCTTTTCGGTAGCTTTTCAAATAAAACCGTGACTTTTAAATTTTGCTCCAGGATGCGTCTAGAAGTGAACTGTCCCTAAGCAACGTCGCGGGAATATTTTATATCCTCATAGCGGGACTCTTCATAGCTATGGCCGTAGCCGTCCTCGAATTCTGCTACAAATCCCACTCGGAAGCGAAGCGGGCTAAGATTCCTTTGGGCGACGCCATGAAGGCCAAAGCCAGGCTGACGATAGGCGTCGGGACGGATTTCGACAACGGAAGGGTGAGCGTTATATTGAATATTTTTCTTCCAGAGCGGCGCTGCGTCCGTTTTATTCGAAGAAAAAAATCGCCACCGGGTTGTTTCAATTAAGACTTTTGAGGGCTTACATTTTAGGGGTTGTAGCCCTCTTAAGAGATATTTCTTTTCCTGTAATAAATAACTCAACTGATTTTATTGATTGGGGAATTTGTTATTTGAGATTACCTCATTTTTGTTATAAATTTGGAAGTTTTGCAAAATATGTTACGATTTTCTATTAACTTGATTATTTCTATAACTTTCCACAAAAACATGAAAAGAAAGAAAATATACCTACTATTCATTTCATGCCAATTTAAATTTATTAGTTATGAGCAATAGAAATAAATTAATTGATCGGTAATAAACATATTTCTAAATTTTCAAAATAAGGAATTATTTAAATATAAAGTTTTGTAACAGTGTGATCAACTAAGAACTAGGATATTTCTCTTAAATGTTAGGATGCACGATCCTTTCGCGATTGTGATGATCCACTTGACAATATATGGCCTGTTGTTATTTTTTTGAGGAGCTATTTTTGGCCAAATCATTTTAGTGGTTTTCTATTTAAAATGTGGCTACTGTCGAAATAAATGAAATAGACCCCTGAGTTTGGAAACCGATATTAAGGAAACATAGGGGCAAAAAATTTGGTCCATATATAGCCTCACTATTACTCTATTGCGTGCTAAAATTTCAATTAGTTTCGTTATCCCATTATTTAGTTATTAATGAAAATGTTGAAAAAATTTCGGTTTTCTGCCTACCAAATTGATACCTCTCACTTTAACTCGTCGTAATTTTTTTTGTCAATTGATAAAAAAATTTCAAATTTTTACTGACTATAAGTCGAACTATTATCTTTAGTACTGTGAAGGTCATTTGTCTTCAAAGCTTTTCTTTTTTTATTTTTAAGCAAAACAGAAGGGAGTGCTATCTCCATAAATATTGTGTTCTTTAAAAAAAGAAAAAAATGACATAGGTAGTAAATAACTGTAAACAACAATCTGAAAAAATTTCTTAAAATAATACAGTTACAAAGGCTATACTGTATATCCTGCATCGGACCGTGAACGTAATTGACCAATCCGATACTGTTTTTAAGAATATCATATTTATAACTGTATTATTTTAACAATTTTTTTCAGATTGTTGTTTACAGTTATTTACTACCTATGTCAGTTGTTTTCTTTTTTTTAAGAACGCAATATTTATGGAGATAGCATTCCCTTCTGTTTTGCTTAAAAATAAAAAAAGAAGAGCTTTTGAGACAAATGACTTTCACAGTACTAAAGATAATAGTTCGAATTATCGTCAGTAAAAAGTTGGAATTTTTTTATCAATTAACATAAAAATTACGACGAGTTAAAGTGAGAGGTTGCCCCTATGTTTTCTTAATATCGGTTTCCAAACTCAGAGGTGTCTATTTCATTTATTTCGAAGTAGGAAGCTCTAATCAACATCATTTAAAATCGCTACATCTTAATTTCACAGAATAGCTTTCTAAGTGGACAAAATTTTAGATTTGTGAGGTTTCTGGATAAAGTTAAAAATACAGGAGCCCTAGAATTGCCTGAAGATGAAAAATTAACAATTTCTGATCCCTATATAATATACTTTCACGATTTTAAGCCAGGCCTAATATTTTTAGAATTTTAGCAGTATCTATTATCAGTCAGTTATTATAGCCATCAGTATCAGTAAATTGGTTACTTTTTTATCCTCAGATAATTCCAACGGCTTGTAGATTTTTGAGCTAAATTTTAAATTTTAGTTCTTAAAAAAAATGATAAAATGTAACTTATAGCAGTTTTAATTGATGCTCAACCAGATTTTACAATTAGTACAGAAATCGATAAAGTTCCAAACATCGCTTCTAAAAAATTAAAGCAAGTCTTGGATTGCCAACTAGATCGCCTTAATTGGTTCAGCAGGTACATCTATCTTGAATTTAAAAAAATATATATACGATTGTCCTGGTTCATAGCAGACTACAATTTATTCCAAAAGGGGTTTCATTCCGTTGTTGGCATCATTTTAAGTTCATTGTGTTCGAATGTTTTGCAATCAACCTCTGTTTCCATTCTCATCATTTCATTCATTAACTGTATAATTCTAGTACAAGCAAGGAATTTATCACATAACTCTCAACGTCAACATAATTAAAGATGAATTTAAATTTTAGTTTGAAAATGAAAGGTTCTAGTAATTGAAATATGACCGTATATTTTTGGAAACTTTATTTCAGACGAATAGGTGTCCACGCCACGTAAAAATCAACACCCGTGCTAATCAACATTACCCACCTCACCAACATCAAACCACGTAGAATGTAATACAACAACAAAACGGTAAAACCAAATCCAATATGTAGCACACTTATTGAACCGTTTTAGGCTATAAACGACGCACAGCCTTACCCTGTTGCCTGATATCCTTTGCAATTTATAATTAATTTCGTACAATCATAATCTATAATCAGCGGTAATGCGCAATATACGAGTAACGGCAAATGAGAGAGGTTTCGTAGCTGTTTATCCTACAAGTAATGGTCGTTGTGATATTCAGAATTTTTTCTGCTTATTTTTTGTTCTGAAATGACAACAATTTTAACCTTTTTTTCAACAAACTGTCTCGAATATGTATATTTACATTAAACCTTTGCTAAAAACGGTTCTTTTAATATAATGTATCCGTTGTTCAAAGACCGAATGTGATGATATTTGTTTATATAAAATTTTACTATGAAAACGGTGCTATTGTCTGGTTTCGTCCACTTCAATCCGGAAGTAGGTATCTCGTAATTGCAAAAAACTAGGAAAAATAAACTCATCTAATTTAATATAAATGGAAGACGGGCGGCGACTCTTTGTTTGCCCCTAGTCACTTTTACATCTCACAATGCCATGGTACGCTTCACGTTTCTGAGTTTTAAATAGCGCACAAGCCTTTACAAAGAAACTCCGAGCATTATGAACACTCAGTTGTGTACAAAAGCATCGTTAATGCACCGAGCCTAATATGGAATGTTTTCGCATCAATGCTGTGTTCCGAAGGGCGTTCGCGGGTCGACTTGAGTAATAAATACTGTTCCTTTTACCCAACACATCTGTTATTAGCAGTAAAAGCAACGTGGCGTCTAATAATTACAATAATAATAAAAACATTTCCAATATACGTACTGTACTTTTATTTTATTTTGAAAAATACTGAGCTAATTCAAATACATTTAGAAATTGGAGTTAATATGTCTCGTCCTCTCACATACAAATCTTAGATTACTTAATATCAAATCCACAAATTCATTATTGTTGTATCAGTGTGGCAATTTCACAAAAATATTTATCACTGCTGACTAAGAAACCAGAACAAAAGCAAGTATTGAAGTGTAAAAATTTCCTGAATCCCCATTGAATCAAATGGCAATGAATGTTGATAAGATATGTTAAAGTGACACTATTATTATTTTGTGCATTTCATGAGCACTCAAAAAGGTAAAGATTTGTACTGCATTGTATAGCTTTTGGTATGTTTATACTCTTCAGACTTTTCTGTTGGATTTAATAGCATTGCATTAATTTAAAAGCAAGGCAATAAATTACGCCCTATCAAAAGACATCTATAATTACCGTAAATTATAGTTAATTATACCCTTAAGCAGGTAGGTGTATAAAAAACTATTACGTCGGCCTTTGGCAACCCCCCTTCCTTTCCGCCGCATTGGAACTGAACCGTGCGGATTTGAAATTTGTTATGGAAATAGTGAAAAATGAACCTGCCGCCTCGCTCGCAAAAAAGACCGTAATTAAGGAGAAAAGCGTACTGACGATGACACCGTTTTATTATAGATACATTATGATGTATATCCTGGGTAATTTATCGATTTATCTCGAGTAAAAAATATGTATACGTTAATAGTGCTCTGCTTTTGGGTCGGCCGAGCAGAGGAGGGATTCTATTAATAGAACTGGATGGAGGGCGACTGCAAAGTTGAAAAGTAAATCGTGGACGGTTAGTGGAATTATTTATAGTTTAATAAGAGCGGACAGATACAAACAGAACAATTAATTATTATATTTCAAATTTGTTTTCAGCAATCAATGACAGGATACATTAAATTATTGTTACTATAAATGTTTACTACATAAATTTGAATACTTTTCTCGGTATTCCTTCTATGAAACATGATATAACAAGAAGAATATAGGTAGTTTAAGACGATGGGGTTATATGTATAGTACAGCTTATTACTAAGCATGTGTTTGCTGTCATAATCTAACGATCGGAATTATTTAACATTTTAATTTTATTCTAAGGTTTGCTATGAGTATTTGGTGCAAACTTTAATGTTCTAAACCTTAATATAAACCAAGCGGTATATTTGCCTAGATGCCTTAGTATCCATCAAATGATTATTGAAACGGAACACTGGAAATGAACATGACATTTATTATTCATTTCCATTTACATTGAAAATAATCCATAATTCTGTTAAAATGAATGGCAACGTACGTCACAAATCATTTCAATCCGCCGCTTACAGAGCTGACTCGATGATCAAATAATTGAATTTTTCAAATGCTTTAATTTAGAAAAGAAATTGTATGTGAGAGCAACTAAAGTTAAAGAAAAAGCGTCATTCATATTTCTCAACAGAAATTAATAAAAAAAAACGTTTTAAATTTATCTAAGCATAAATAAATCACGAGAATTCAAAAAATTGACAGTAACATTTCAAATTTTAAACCACTTTCGTGCAGATAAAAAAAGGCCTATTTCACTGGGTGTTCTCTGATAAACTCCTACATTTCCACAAACTAGTAATAATAATAGTAACACACGGAAGTATGTAACAGCCACAAACTGCATCATTACACATTTCGCTCGTTTGCATCTAGCACTTCATCAGACCCCATATAAAGAATATATTCATGAAACACACCCCAAGCCTAGTAAGTACCTATATAGTACATTCCTTAGTCATTTTATCTTCACCTAACGAGAAAGCGTCGTGTACTGTGCACCCCATCCCCTAATGGAATAAATTACGAGCACAGGTGTCGCTGCGTATACGAGGTGGATCATCTGTGTCGTCTCGATTAAAAATATGCCCGATTTTATTTTTTTTTTAGTGTTTCCAAGACTGCTTTTATGAATATTTCTATTTTTTCGATTTATTTCAATAAAAAATAGGTACGACTGTAAACTGTTTCCGGCGACACCGGAAACCGAACAGATGGATGAAAAAAAAAATTGCAGGGTGCTTTTTCCCCAAAATAAAGCTTTTCAGTTACATTTTTGTTTCTTCCATTGAATATTCTGATTCAGCAAAGCTTTTTACATTAAAATACAACTGTTTTGATTTTGACCTATTCATACCTACTGACGAGATTCTCAAAAAATTATATGATGTCGAGACGATGCATTTGGACCACGTATATAGGTTTAAGTTAATCAAATTCGTTTGGATTTAACGATATATCAGAAAGTATTAGATACAGAAAAAACGGATCTAGTTTGAACTCTATTTCTAGACAAATTCTTCCAACAAATACCTTCATTTGTAGTCAAGATACAGAGCGATATCCATTGCTTTGTCATTTTCGATCATCTCTGTATCTTATGACAAATGAATCAGAATTAAAGAAAACCTGTTCTATGTAAACCTTTTGGTGTAAAGCTGACATTACTTTGAAATGACTGGAATGTAAAAATGTCTCTTTTTCTAAATCATAGCCTACTACGAATCCCATTCAAAAAATATGTTTTCTCCACTTCTAATAATTTTTGAGATACCGTGAATTCCCATCGAATTTGTCTTACTCTGTACACTTGACTCGTGTGATACCTAATTAATGACTCCCTTCTGATTGCAGTACTACACGCCGGCCAATCAAGCAGGACCTAACGAGCAGGAACAAGCTCACAGCAACACCCACACGCAAGTTTGAAAATGAGTCCTAGGACTTTCGTCATAACCATCAATTTCATCGTGTTTGTCCGGTACGAAGTAAGAGTTACTGTCTTTAATGCGGTATAAAGATACTATAACCATGATAAGCGGAAGCTATCAAAAATAATTTTTTGATATTTACGTTTTTTGAAAACATTGGCTATATTTTTCTCTAAATATATTTAACTACATTCAAAAGCATGCTACATTTAGTAATCAAATTTAAATTGAATTGGAAAACCAAAAAAAAAAATCATTCACATTTCTATTCTGATAGGTACTTTGTAAATGATTTACGTGTGTTTTAATTTAGAATTTAATTCTGGAAAAGCCAGATTACTACACTTATTATTCCCTTAAGTATCTACGGGGTGTTCCGGTTTGATCCAAATAACCCTATCAAATTTTAGGGCTGCGTGCGATTTTAATTACTTTTTATATGTATATACAGGGTGTTTTAGTCTGTCTCTATAAAACCTGTTACGTTTTTTTGAGACGAAAGTTTTCGTGAAACATTAGAAATGTTACTTTAGAATCCCATAAAGAAGTTCAAAAATAAACTTTGTATTTTATGGTATTCTATGCACGCAATTATGTCAATATTCGAAAGGAAATAAACAAGTTTAATAAAGGCAGAATTTGAGTAACTTTATTTTTGGTATTACCACATTTACGTAAAAATACAGGGATATTTTAAATGACTAAAACAATATAGAAACTATAAAAGATATTAGGTACAGAATATTATTATTTCTAATCAAATAAAGGAGAACCTTTTTTGCACATTTTCATTTAAAATTCTTATTCTTACACTAAATTTTGTATAATCAAAAACTGTATAATAAATAAATGACGATGCTAAATCAAAAGTGAAAAATCAAACATGTTTAAACATATCCTGAGGTACAGTACATAGGTGTTATTGAATCAAATGAAATTACCCTTGTTTATTATTAACCCAAAGGCTGTTAAGTAAAATAATGTAAGGTTATAAAAATCATCATCATTTAAATAATAAAGGTGTTGCCCTAATACTTCTGCAGCAGCTCTTAGAATTAGGGTACTCTTTAATTTTGGTGATTTAATTTAAAATAAACGGTAGTGGATAATGTTCATGTAAACCATGTATCGTGATAATAATTCCAGAAGAAAGAAAATTACATATAGCTGTCATATTTATATTCATATACATAAATGTAACATTTTTACTCAAGTATTAGGTTGTAAGCTTATTGTATACAATTTTCGTCAATTTAGATAGATTAAATACCTGTTGTTGTACATCCGTACATTTTATTACCTGTTTTAAAATTCCTTGGTTAACAATACCTTCAATGCACATTTCAAGTACTGTGGTAAGTACATTTTATCCAGGAAAGTACTTTTACTGATATTAGAAATTTAATTTAGTATCCAAATTATATCGTCTAAGACATATCATGCAAACGGAGCTATTATAATGGAAATGAGCATTAACTCAATTAAGAATAGATGAAAACGCCGAACGAAAAAAATACAATTTGTTTCGACCGAGGATGATTGATGGTCTGTAATCCATTACGTGCCATTTAGAATGCAATGATGATGGCATTAATCTGAAACAACGTTTTTTAATCAATGAATTTAAAAAAGTGAAGACAAAAAATTTGTTGGATCGATTTCTTGAGCTACAAAAAATTCGAATTCATGTACCTCGTACTTCCGAACCACAAACTTTTATGGAAATCTGGGGAACAGTTCATCTACTACTTGTATACTCTTATGGAACACTCGACATATAAATATTGTTTATAGTTGACCAACTGTATTCACAGGCTCCATAATTGATACGTAAAATAGTGGAATCTCTCTTCATTGTAACAGATACAATAATAATCCGCTATGATCAGTCCTGCTGCCACTGATATAACGCTCAATTGCTATCTGTTAATAATAGACCGCTTCATCACAACGGCAATAGATCGAGAATTATAATATACTCACAATTATTTAACAAAATATATAAGTAGTAAAAAATACAAATTAGAAACCATTAAAATCGTTGGTGTAGTAATTTGAATTTATTTAGAGCGTTATTAGTCCTTCAAAAATTAGAAGTTCCTGCGCTAATTGTAATAATGCCTCAAAAATAATTTTCGGAAACAGAGTATAATTTTTTTAAAAGTAGGTACCAACCATACCATGGTCCAGCTTATACTATACTTATGTAATTCCTTAAGGTCTTTAGAGAGCTTCCCAGCTTCATCAATTTTCATCAGGCACCTTTGTAGATCACTTAATTTTTCTTAGAATGAGGTGAACTATCGATTATACAATTTCGCTTATAAAATTCAACTCACCCCAGAATGCCAATTGACCTGTCTGTCCACTACAACCAAAGATATCGATAATAAAAACCCATTCCCAACTAGAATGCGTCTGAGATCTCCCTCTGCACCAGGCTTCCTTCAGCTGTCTACAGGTATGGGTGCACAAAGCGTGCCTTCCGGCATTGTGAACGTGTGTAAGTGTCATGTCGGGTGTTTTATCGGTGAACGGCTAGTGAGCCAGGCACGATAAGGTCGAAGGTGGCGATGGTATCGCGAACTTGAACAGGGTGGCCATAACCAGAACTCCACCGCTGTAGACCTGGCACTTCGACGACTTAATATTGGTATTGCAGTTGACTTTTTTAAGATAATTTGAAACAATGTTTAAGGTACGTACACACCTCACACTATGCATGTACGGTAATGGCTGACGCTGTTCCACTCTACATGCTCCCTTGACTACGTACGTGGCCTACTGTGGTTTTTATCAGACAAAGGTATAATAAAAACGTATTTTTTAATTTGCATCAGTGACAACAGTGATCATATTAAAGAGCTGTTGTAAGAGAAGCGTCTGTTACAAGTTTTTGCAAATTAAAATACGTTACTTCGTCTCTCTAGCTAAACGAAGCTGCTTAAGACAGAAGTAAGTTTAGTTAAATCTGTTTTATCGTAAGAAATTGTGGTAGCTCCTTGTACATGGAATATTAAGACACCCTGTATACTTAATTCTTCCTAGAAATCGAGGCTGACTTTCTCGATCTACGCCACTGCGAAGTGGCACGGCCCCTTCATAAAAATAATGTTAGTAAAATTATATAGGAAAGGGTAAATTGGGTTGTACCTCTACTTTGCCTTGGATAACGGCAGCCTGATTTTCCTTGGCTTTCTTTGTACCAGGCGCACCCTAAATCGCGTTTGTTTGCGTGACTCTCTAGCTAGACGGTTAAACAGGAAGCAGTTGCGTGTCCGGGAATGAGGGCCCTTTGACCACGAATTTAAGTGATATACAAATGAGACAATAGGGCCAATTTATTGTTTTTTTAATGAACCTGGCGGCTGCCCTGAAAGCACTTAATTATGCAACGGTTTTTTGTACTAAGGTTTGATTTAATTTAAGAGAAAATACACTCGGACTACCTACAAGCTGTTTAAACTATAGTAGCTTATTACTTTACATAATTTTTTTCAGATATTTTCAATAATAATGTGTTATAAATAAAATACTGAGTATATTTAAATTAAGTGCTATCTGACAATTTTTATCAAATTCTAAGTTGTTTCATTCGCAAGTTGCCTAAATTAAAATTAAATAAAAAACTATTTTTATCTTCAAATTAGTCGTTAGGTTTAATAGTATAACTTTTATCATCACATAAAATTTCAGCTTCAAATGTAGCTCCACTTACATTCCAATTTATATACAGGGTATCCAAGATAAGGATGGGATAGCATTAGTATCTAGGAAACGGTAAGAGATACGGGGTGGCTCAAATTAGAAAAAAGTTGTGTTTTTTATACCTAAAAATATGCCGTTTAGAAAGTTTTTAAATTCCGGGTAGTTCCGGAGATATCCGGAAAGACCCGAAATTTTGCAAAATCGTTTTATTTTCTTCTGGCTTTATTTGAAAACGAATTTTAAAATAAATTGCATATTTATTCTTTTGCTCTATCCAATGGCGTCAACATTTTTGCAATCCGACATTCCATTCCACGTTTATTATGTACCTACTAATAAGGACTAAATATAAACATATAAAACATAAAACACACCACAGAAATGAGACAACCCCCAAATCCAAAGCCAAAGGCTGTGCGGAAGGGGGCTACACTTGAAAAAACGCGGATAAACACCCATTATCCATTGCAGTGCCGACACCGGGGATCGAACCCGGACCAGAATAGGAAGCCTGGCCGAGAAATGCTTGCCACCGCACTCTCGACCGACTGCGCTACTGTGGCGTATACTAATAAGTGGAAACTAAATAGATTTTTTAAAACAAACTAATCCTAGTTTTGGATATTGCCTAGCATATATATTGTGAAAATGTAACTAATAATAAGTTCATAGTTTTGTAATAAATCTTATTTGAATGTTAATTTATTTTTACTGTAATATCACATTTCGCCTCTGTATTATTAATCTACATATTTTAAGATGTAGATGACATAAGATTATTAGAAATATATCTTAGCTTAATGTGAACTAACAGTTTTTCAGTGAAAATAGTTTATTTTAATATTAATAAATGAATGGTTTATAAAAAGTGAATTGTTTTTTTCGCTAAAATTGGACGTATTTCTTTCTTGATTAGCCTCAAAATTATGTACTTTCTCAAATTTAAATAAACTGATAATTAAATAACTGATCTAACTATAAGTTTATAATTTTTGAAATGGTACATAGTGTTGAGATCTACTAATAGAGAAGCACATACGAGTATATACGATACTTTTATTCGAACATTTCATTTTTACTAAAAATTAATTTTAAGATTTGTATTTTCCGAACTTATTATATACATACATATATCGTTCAAAACTACTTGTCATAGTTGTTGACAGTTTAATGATTAAAAATAATTGGCGGATTGTTAAATTGGGTTTTATTACAAAATTTATGAAACTACAACAGCAACACTATGTCCTTAGCTAAAACTGACTTTTTGACGATTATTACTTGTTTGACCCTAACTTCCACAGTTTCTGCATCCATTTTAATTATGAGTAAACGGAACACAGCACACAGCATTCTGTAACTATATGCACATGTTATGAATATGATCTAAGAACAACAAGAAACACTACCTTTTGGTATAGTCCATACCGAGGTCCATACTAGCCTACTGAACTACAC